TTTAAATTCAAAACTAGTATGCAACTGATATTAACTATGTTTAGAACAACGTAGTGAATCTATTTTTTAACTGTAAATTTTTAAATTCTAAATAATCAGGTTGTTCTGGTGAAAATTTAGTGTCCAAACTGAGATGTGTTGTAAGTATAAAATTACATGCTAGGTTTCAAAGACTTAGGTACAAAAAAAAGAATTCAACATATCTTATTAAAAAGTATTTTAGCTTAATTATATATTGAAATTATATTTTTTGTATGTTATCATAATAAAGCACATAATTATAATTAATTTCACCTGTTTCTTTCTTACTGTTATTAGTAAGGCTACTGGAAATTTAAAAATTGCACATCTAGCTCTCATTATATTAATAATGGAAGTGTTGCAGTTGCCTAGAGTACAAAGCTTCACAGCGACGCGGCCCAGGTGCCTTCCCTCCCCGGATAAACCACTGATATTGAAGAGTCTCCTCTAGCCTCTGCGTAGCGGCCAAATGGGAGGATGGATCACAAATCACTGTCAGCGTGACCCCGCCGCTCACTGTGCTGGCTTTGACCTCAGACTTGCATCTAATACGAGATTTCTGGGCAACATGGCCCAGTGGTCGTCTGGTCTCCAGCCCCACCAAGAGCCGGCCTCGTCCCTCCTGTACCACAGCCCAGTAACCAGGGAAGGGGTGGCCTGGGGAGTGGATCAGAGCAAAACATCTGCGTGGGAACTAGGCAGCCCGCCCTCAGAGAGATGCTGATTTAGGCAAAGAAACCACCACGACCAAAGGGTCTGTAGGGAATTTGACCCAGTTTCTCCATTCTGAGCACCATCTCCTCAAACCAGCTCCTGCTCAGCTGCACTGCTCAGCGCACCAGCTTAGGGCCAAACCGGACTGAAGACAACTGCTGAAGATGCTCAGCAGCACGCAAGGGTCCCTGGATGGGCCTTGACTAGACTTCCAGCCTTTCTATTATTCCCTGGAAGAATGGTTCTCTGGGAACTGACAGACACACATTATTTGTATCACAGATGATGTTTAGACCACCCCAGGTACACTGGGTACATTTTATCATCTGTGACCATTTTCCGGGTATAAAATCTAGATGAACAAAGGTGGCGGATTAGTTTATTCTTCCAGGAGAAATCACACAACATCACTAGGATACAGATTTTCTGACTCTGAATTCAATGCTTTTTTCCTTACGTTATACGCCTCCTTTGTAAATGTTGCATTGAATGGGCGCAAACATCTCTCCAGTTCTATTTTCAGTCATTAATTGGTCAAGATCTTTCCTGTAGAGAAACATACCAAAGGGAAATTCACATCTTCACTTCTGATTTCTGTGCTGAGCATTCCTGTTTTAATCCCTCCCCCACCTCTCTTCTAGGTTCTAACGTTACACTTCCAACTACTTGTATTTTATCTGTTACCCCCCAAAACCCCACACATTTAAATTATACTGTATATAACTAAGGCATCTTCAAAGGACTTGAAAAGTAGAAAGAAAAAGAAAAGTTGGTAGAAAGTATTACATCTAAAGGCGGAAAACATCCCAATTGTGAGGCAGTACTTTGTACTGGGTGACAGTTCCTCAGATTGTCCCTGGTCACTAACCTGCACTCTAATTATTCATCCGGCTTCCCAGGGAGCTCAACGCCTCTGACAGTGATTCTTCTCAAATCAAATGCTTTTGTTTAACATAAGCTAAAATTCAGTTGCTGTCTCCATGTTCACAAATATTTTATTCAATACTTATGTATTGAGAATGTACTATATTTTAGGCCCTGAAACATTTTATATACATATATATGTGTGTATATACATACACACATTTCCCCTAGAAAGCAAATAACTCACTTTTTTACCTAGTCTGAGGGATCAGAAAGGCTTGTCTAAGGTAATGCCATTTGAGAATGTGTAAGGGCCTTGGGGTAAAAAGAAGTAAATTATTGTAAAAGAAATAATGCTCCAAACCTGGTCTGGGACAAACATTATTGCTGGATAAGTTAGTAATCTCCTTTAAAAAACTAAATTAAAACAAAAAAATGTTTAGCAATTTTCAACAACTGGTTATTTATGGGATTAATATTTGTCTTGGGAAACCAATCACTTACCCAAGAGGCTGGGGATCTTTAAAAAAAACTACACTTTTTTGTTTGTGTAATCTACATTTTCTATAAATGTGTTTACTAGGAGAGAAATCTTTGACCTACCAGAGGTTTTCCCATACAGCAAGAGTATGATAAAACTTGTTCATAACTAAATTGTTTGGAAAGTTGTTACTGTTTCAACAATTACTTCTAGGTTCTAAAGTAGCCTAATGTCATAGAGAACAGAACTAAATGGGGACATTGGACCTGTGAAAAGGGGTGCCAAGGGATAGAAGCAAGGTCCAGATTGAAAGGAATTTTTGTCTTTCAATAACTGAATCTTATTCTTAAAAACAAAATAGAAAAGAGATGAAGGAGGTGATCGCATTTACACTTTATAAAGGTCAATATTTCGCTATTCCATAGGAATAGAAACATCGGTGAGTCACAAATATGAGCAACATATTTAATTGTTAATATTCTAGTAGCTACATTAAAAAAGTGAAAAGAATCAGATCATTTAATTTTAATACTATAGTTAATATAACCCACTATATTGAAAATATTTCCATTTTAACATGTAAGCAATATCAAAATTATTTACTCTGTTGTTCATTAACTTCAACTCTACAATGCTAATCCAGGAAATTAAGGCGAAGTATTAAAAACTCTGATAAAGAAAAGGTGTATTTTTTTTTTTTTTTGCAATTTTATGGAAAACAAACAACTTGAGAAGTTTCATTTTCCTCTAATAAGATTCTTACTCAGAATGTGCTTTCTACGTTTAATTTCTATTAATATATTTTCTCACTGATGAACTCCTGGGTGACAGAGATAATGTATACTCCATGTGGAGAAGAGATCTTCTAATGATTACTTACCCACATCATTTTCACTGAACATAAAAAAATACTGAATTCAATAATGCAATATTTTACCTATTAGTTAGTGCCCTCCCTCCCCCAAACAAAAAGCAAAACAGTCAGAAAAAGCTAAGAACTATATGATTTCATTCATATGTAGGATATAGAACTTAAACTCATGGGTACAAACAATAGTGTGGTTGTTGCCAGAGGGAAGGGGAAGAGGCATGGGTGGAGGGTGAAGGGGGCCTAACATATGGTGATGGAAGAAGATTTGGCTTTGGGTGGTGGGCACACAGTGCAATATACAGATCTTACGTCACAGAAATCTATACTTGAAACCTATATGATCCTATTAGCCAATGTCACCCCAATAAATTTAATAAAGAAATACAAATAAAAAAAACAAACACCACTACCACCAACAAAACAAAAAACAATTGAACCTTCTTTTTAAACATCTTAACTGATCAAAGCATAGAACTAGACATTATTTAAGATGGTTTATTTGTTATAAAAATGTTTTGTTAATGTCAATTTCCTCAAGACTGAAATAAAGGTATTTGAATTTCTCCAAATTCAAACACAACTCTCTGTTATTGCTGATTCAACCAGTGTCTGAAAACAGATCCTGTATCTCCTAGTCAATGGACTTCTCATTGGTCACCTTTATAATAGAGAACTTAGATACCTAAGAAGCAGCAAAGGACAGAGATGCAACTGTACTAACTGTAAGTTCCTTAGGACCATGGCCTGTGTCCCAATGTTTCTGATGCCTAAGAAAGTCGCCTGGCACCTGATAGGTGTATAATAAATTTTTATTGAAAATAATCATAGCTAATACTCAGAGCACTTAAAATGTATCACTTGTCTGTGTGCTTTATATATTTTAAAACATTCCATCTCAAAAACAACCTTATGAGTAGATACTATAATTATCCCATTATACGGATGAGAAAACTGGATGATNTGTGTGCTTTATATATTTTAAAACATTCCATCTCAAAAACAACCTTATGAGTAGATACTATAATTATCCCATTATACAGATGAGAAAACTGGATGATATACTTTTAATAAGACTTTAACATTACCTTTCATGTAGAGTTTGCCCTTGAACAATATGGGTTTGATCAGTGGGTTCATTTATATGTGGATTTTTTTCAGTAAAAAAAATACAGTCCACCCTCCCTNTTTCATGTAGAGTTTGCCCTTGAACAATATGGGTTTGATCAGTGGGTTCACTTATATGTGGATTTTTTTCAGTAAAAAAAATATAGTCCACCCTCCCNTAAGAAAGTCGCCTGGCACCTGATAGGTGTATAATAAATTTTTATTGAAAATAATCATAGCTAATACTCAGAGCACTTAAAATGTATCACTTGTCTGTGTGCTTTATATATTTTAAAACATTCCATCTCAAAAACAACCTTATGAGTAGATACTATAATTATCCCATTATACGGATGAGAAAACTGGATGATATACTTTTAATAAGACTTTAACATTACCTTTCATGTAGAGTTTGCCCTTGAACAATATGGGTTTGATCAGTGGGTTCATTTATATGTGGATTTTTTTCAGTAAAAAAAATACAGTCCACCCTCCCTTATCCTCGGGTTTCCCAGGCAAGGATTCAACAAACAGTATTTTAGACCCACAGGTGAGAATCTGAGGATGTGGAAAGCTGACTGTATGCACTGTTCTATGTCATTTTATATAAGGGACTTGGGCCTCAGCAGGTTACTATGGGGGTCCTGGAACCAATACCCAGCAGATACAAAGGACAACTTAAGGTTTTGTTGAGTCAAAAGTTATATGCAGAATTTTGACTGCATGGGGTCAGTGTCCCTAATCCCCCAGATGTTTAAAGGTCAACTGTACTTGTAAATTGAATCCTGAAAAAAGCTATGTGGTCCTTTTTATGAGGTATACAAAATAAAAATTCATACACATCCCTCTGGATGGCGTGTTACTAGTGCACACAACATTTTAAAGCTTGACACTTCTTGGTGCATAAGTATTCAAATTTTCTCCATATATAGACACTACACCTTATTGTCAATAAATAATTCCACTTTAATGGCAAAGTAATAATTTAGACAGATACAGGGTGCACATTTGCAAAAAAATATATGCAAGCTGGTTTACAAGCTAAAGGAACAATTAACCAATAGAAAATACATCATCCAGTTAAGTCCATTGACACCAAGTACTTATTGTTGGGGCTTTACAAAGACTACAAAACTTTCCAGATGATTTATTTCACTGTTTCTGCCTATTTACATGATATGTTACATCAAAAATGTACAAAATATAAAATGTATACAGACAAATGTTTCACAAACTAGTTTAAGTTGTAAACTAGGTGGACCTACTGGGATGTATTGCAGGAATCTGTTTATGATCATGTTTGGACTGTGTTTTCTCAAAATGGCAGGGAAAGATTAGCAATTTTCTTAGGTCACATATTATACAAGGGTAACTAGTCACTCATCCAGCTATATATGATGTTTCACAACAGATGTGATCCACGTTTGGGGCTTCAAAGTCAGGGTGGCAATCCTCTGTGCATAAATGCAGCTCCGGTTTCCCTTAGGGCAATAGCACCATGTGGGACCTACAGACTCAGAGACACTCTGAAAACTGCACAGATGCCTGCTGCTGTTATTGTTCTAGAGCAACTGACCCACGGTGGTCGCAGAGAGTAGCACCAGTTACACGTCCTGAAAGGAACACATTTTCACACGCACAGAACAAGACTACACCACGGCCAAGCCCTTGGGTGTTATAAACTTAAAAACCTGTCTGTGTGTGGTGGTAACTTCTCTAATGAATCCAATCAGTTTTCATGCACTCTCCTTAAAGCCTGCCATGACAGATGCACTTTCGGGCATTTTTACTTTTCCAAAAATGTACTGGCTTCATGTCCAGTTTTGAAGCATGCTCACTCTAGCACTGATAGCTCCTGCATAGTCATAACAACTGTAAATACAGAACAAACACACCAGGTAAGAACAGCTTTGAGGGTCTGCATTCTGTTTTTTGTTTGCAACGTACAGGAAATCGCAGCAAGTGAAACACCTCTTAACACCAACAGGATAAAAGACACATTTTTTGTGTGTTTGTTTTGATTTGTGCAAGTTTTTAAAATTATTATTTACAATACCTACCCAGTAGACTGTGCAAATCTAACCTTCTTTTACAGTATCCACGCCTCCCCTTCCACAGTGATGTCACTGCTTCTGTGTTCTAGATGCTGAATTTCTCATGTACACCAACAGCAATCAAAACAACATGCTCCAAACTAATAATAAAAAAGGAACAGGAGAGGAAAGCCAAATAGTTGTGCTCATGCTGCATCTAGTGCTTCCAGCTCTGCTGGGTAAAAATTCAAAATCTCCTGCCTTCTAAAACTCTTTCACCTAGAACTGGATGGAATGTAGCCACATGTCTTTGCTTTTAAGTGACGGTCAAAGAGGGTTTCTGGGTTACATGGATATTTGGGGGGAGGACAGGCAAAGCGATCTATTCACAAGGAAAAAAATACTGATCTTTCTCCCAACCGTTTCTTGGGCGGGGGGGGGGAAATAAAAGATCTATAGAGATGAGGCTACTGCGTTAACTGGCGTTACTTGGTCGTAAATGAAAAGACAGTGGAAATTACCAATGGTTTAGGATTGAAACCAGCTGTTAATCTGTTGTAGAAATCTGTTTTAAGGCAGTGAGACAGCACCATAGGAAATGTTCCTTCTTTCACTGAAAAGGCTCAAACAAATAAAGCCCTAAGAAAGCCTTTTGTCAGTGTTGGCTAATAATTGGTATAAAACTCTTGTTAAGGGAGTGGGCAGGTGGCTTCAAAAGACCACAGTGGTAAAAACAACCTTAGAAAACCTGTGACTCGTGCGCTGCCAGGTGGCGGAGCAAGCCGCGCGCACCGGCCGTGGGGAGCTCCCCACAGCAGCTCTCCTGGAGGCCCCGGTTCCATTTGTGCTTTCGGGGGGCTGGCCCCTTGGCCTCGTTTCGGAAAGGGCTGAGCGCACAGCACAAACGCCGCCGGAGCCCTGTGACCAGCACCGTGTGGCACGGAGGAGGCGGACGGGTCAGAAGAGTGGGCCCTGCTTGGGGAGAACAGCTTGTCAGAGGAAACGAAATGAAGGGGGACAAAAAAAGGGTCTGTATTGTAAACTTTTAAAGAGGAAAAAAATAAAGTCCAGTTTGGCTATCCCATGTGCAGTCTATTCAGTTGCCCTATCGTTAGGGTCCTTTCCAGTTGAGTCATGGAGCCTTGTGTCACTCCACAGATATAAAAATGCCTAGAAATAAAACAAGGTCGAGCTTCCGTTTCGGTTTAGCGTCTTGGCGGTTCAGACTCAGTTCTGCTGCCTCCTCGGAGACCACGGCTCTGGGTCAGGAGCCTGGATAGGTGCTTTCATACTGGCAGTGGTTTAGTGAAAATCCCTTACTTTTTAAACCTTTTTAAAAAGCATAGTCTTTCCCCCCCAACGTTTCTCACCCTCTAGAGGGTAGATTCAAGAGATGAATCCAAGGTGTCCTCGTGGCGGCTGGTGTTGTCGCTGTCGCAGGTTTGTGTACCCGAGTAATTGGCTGCTTCTTGGAGTTTCATTAGCATATTCATCTGAGGAGAGAAAAAGAGACATGGGATGGAGCACTGACGCGAGCAGCCAGCCCCGCAAAGGCGGCCCTGAGCCACCCGAGGAACCGGCTTGTCCCGTCCAAGGGAAACGGGAAAACAGTTTTAGATGCACCAGTCGCCCCTGGCTCCTACACGATTTCTCCCAAATATGACTACACCACCAAACCATAAGGACGAAATAAAGCCTCTAGATCACTCTTTTATTTGGGGTTGTGAATGAATACTGCTCCGGCAGGGCGACTGGGAAGGAAACTGTATCACAGCTGGACATCTGGGCTCATTGCTGCAGAGTGTGCCAAGCTTCCCAGCTTTTTGGCCGGGAGAAGCAGAAAGCACTGAATGGCAACTGAAAGTCGTGAGTGCTCCTGCACACACAGGCGCACACACAGGCGCACACACGGTCCCCTGGGGGAGGGAGGGGGAGTGGAGTGGAGCCAGCTGCTGCACACAAGCGCACCATCTGCTGCTTAGGCCCTGGCCCCGAGAGGAGGTGACTGAACGAGGCAGGCCGTGAGTGTTTGAAGAGGGGGAAGGAAACAATCACTGTCAAGTTTCTGTTGTTGAATTTCTGGCTGAAATATGATTGATATATCACCGACAACAAAAGCCACCTTCTGGAACAATAGCGGCTGTCTCGAGTTTCCCAGCCTTTTAGGACAATGGCAATATTTGTTCCAGTAAAAGGGACATATGCATGAAAGCACCTGGGGAGACAGGCAGCTAGCATTTCCATGTATTACAAAATAAAAGGCAGCCACTTTCCTTGGATTTCGATAGACCTGCAGATCCTCTGTTAGGGAGGGAAGTTAAAAGGAAGATTGCTTACAAGCGAATTGTAGACAAGCAGTTCAACAAAGCGTAGAAAAATTGGCACGTGTCTTCATGAGGTAGTGGGCTTGTGTGTTTTTTACCAAGGGTTTCTCTAAATTGTAATAGTCTTTATATTATTTAATGCATACTAATTTTATTAATTTGTAAAATCATCAAAGTTGTCTTTTTTTTAAACAAAGAGAAATAGGTAATCTGATGCAATAGAAAGAAGTTAAAACGGAATTCCGTAGTCATATGTCAGGCTATGCATGCCTGTGCGTTCCGTGTGAAATGTGTGTTCGCAAAATGCTTGTGATGTAAATGATAAACTGGTTATCACCAATTTCAGTAACAACGCCCTTCTGACAAAGAGGCTACAGTTATAGCGTATTTTAACGTTATCTTAATATTCTTCAGGAAAATAGTTTTCAATATAGTTTTCGGTCTAACTCTGAATTTATTAAATCAGTTACATAAGAATATGAAATAAAAGTAGTTGGTGATAACCTCTTGAACTCAGGAAGCCAAAAAGCCAAAATGTCTCCATCAGCACAGTTTTCCTCTCTCCCTCTGTCCGGCTGTTTCTCTGTCTGCCTCTCACCCGCGCACCCCGGCCTCCGCGCGCAATCTGCTCCCTCCCTCCTGCCTTCAGTCCATTCCTCCCTCATTAGTAGCTGGCTCCCTATGTGTTCAAGCGCCTGGAGGAAGAGCATTTGTACCCCAGATCTCTATTTTGAGCACCTTCCTGATCTACTAAGAAGAGCAATGGTCAATGAGGTCTGTTGGAAGGGTTATGAGTCTATCTTTGTCACAAATGTTTGAAACCACTTGGATGCTGAATGTTGTAAAAGTTTTGTGTTGTAATAACAGTGTTGTTAAGGTCTTAATTTTTGAAAATGGTGCCATATCCTAAAGATGTTCCATTAGAACAAGTTGCAAGTCTTAGATTTATAATAAATGTAACAAGAGATTTACTTTGCCTTCTCATAGTGTGGCCTTGGGCATTCAAGTCCAAGGAGATTTTAAGAGGAAAGGAAGGTTACCTGTGATTCAACAGCCACTGGGATAAATTATCATTTTCCACACAAGTATTTCCCTCCTCTCTTCCCCCTTTCTCCTTCCCCTCACCCATAGTCATAAATATAGTGTTTATCATTGTAACACCTCGGTCAGGTCCTTATCATCTGTGGTAGTTACAAAGCTGCTCATCTCCCAGCATCCATCCTCTCCCCTTCAACATTTCCTCTATTCTGCCACCAAAGTGATCCTTATAAACTGCAAATCTAACTAGGTCAGTCTCCTGCTCAAAAACTTTTGGTGGCTCCCCATTCTCTGTATGATCAAGTTTTAACTTCCTACAATGCCAAACATGGCTCGGCATGTTCTAGCAACTGCAGGCTTCTGTAGCTTTGATTCCTCCTGCCACTTCTGTTCTAATTCCAATGAGTTGTATATAGTTCCCCAAATTCATCCTTTTTATTATACAGTTCCACAATGTTTCACCTGCTGTATCCTTACTTTTGAAGGTCCTCTGTCCAACCACATGATGAACATCTACCATTCATCCTTCCAGATCTAGCTCAAGCGTCTCCCCTGTGAAGCTTTCTCCTAGTCTCTTCCTAAGTGGACTTACAGCTTTACGTAGCATGTACCTCTATCATTATTTTACTGTAACTGAGATAGATATCTCTTTCCACTACTGGACTGTGAGCTTCCTGAGGTCAAAAACATCTTATTTATCTCCTGATCACCGAATCTTAGTCCTGAGTACATACTTATCACATATTAACAATTGTAGGATAAAAACACATTATATTTTTAAAATACAGTGAGCCTGGCTGGGCGTGGCTCAGTGGTTGAGCGTCGACCTAGGATCCAGGCAATCGGGGTTCGATTCCCGGTCAGGGCACATGCCCAGGTTGTGGGCTCGATCAATGACTCTGTCATCATTGATGTTTCTGTATCTCTCTCCCTCTCCTTTCCTCTCTCTGAAATCAATAAAGATATATTTTAAAAAAATAAAATAAAATACAGTGAGATATACCAAAAAATCTGAATCTTTGTTTGGACTTAAAACCGTATTTCTGACATTAAATATTACATTGTTTCCCTAATTTTTTATTTAAATTGGACTATAAATATATTTTGACCTTACATTAAAATGTTAGAAATACAGAGAAATAAAAATAGATGGAGAATATTTACTTTCCTACAAGAACATATCTGGTCCAAAGACTTAGTTTTAGATCATAAGTCTTTTGCCTTTTAGCATGTCATGTATATCATAACTCCTTGTTTCTTCAGATGTTTAGCAGATTAGGAGTCAAGGATTTTTTTTACCCCAATTTTCACTCAGAATGGAAGACTCTGGATCTCTTTTTCATACTAGAAGACACGAGCATTCAGAGCCAGGGAAAAGAGTATTTAATGGATTTAACTGACCAAGACTGTGGAAACTGGGGAAGTTGAGAGCATTCCCTAAGTGTCCCATACTCTACAGATTAACTCTGAAAATAAACTTTAAAAATACTTCTTTCCGAAACAGATACAGTTTTTCAAAACCACAAAGGTAGAACTGAAATTTATAAAAATGCATGTGAAATAACCCATATTTGTACCCTAAGGCTTATATTTACTCTATTACATTTTAACCATTCTAGCAGCAATCATTTAGTGCATGCTCACAATTATGCCACATTCAAACCAATTCCACCACTACTGTTAATTTCTATGAATAAACTAAAGGGTCAGGTGCCTGTTATAAAAATGTAAGTGCAAGCCTTTAAATAGTTTAAAGTCTAGATAAAAAATCCTAAATAGGACATCCCCGGACTCCGTGAAGGTCTAGTATGTACTTCTGTGACATTACAGAATTCTTTGACATTTTGTGCAAATTTTGTGTGTGTATGTGCATTTTATTGGTGAAAGAATATTGAAAATTTATCAGATTCTTCACATGTAACCTCCAAAATATTAATAATGACCAACTGGAATGGTGATGATACACATGTGTTGGGGTTGATGGTACAAGGGTACTCCATAGATATCAAGTCATTTTATGTCTTTGAGTACAGTCATAGATTATGATTTTAATAATTTCCTTCTGATTTGTTTTAAGTAATGTAACGGTCTTTATTTCATTATGTTTTCTTTCTGTGCCGGTGTGCAAGTCCAGAAATCTCTTTAGTCATAGAGTGGCAAGACAACAAACATGTTACATTTGATATCAGCCTATAGGAAGTCATCTAGAAAAATAAAAAATACATAAAAACTAGATTTTTTCCAAGTAATACTATGTACTAATATCTTCAGAGTATTCATACTTTGGGGTTTTATCTACTTTTGTTAAGCCATACACAATTGTAAATTGAACAAGGTTGGGAGAATACATTTCCTTTGATTTCCACGTCAATTTATTCTTCTTTAATTGAATTGTTGGCCACAGGAGACTAATTCTAAATTAAGTCAAGCTAGAAGATATATGTAAAATATTCTTTGGTTCTCCAAGTGTACATTAGATTATATTCCTTTTGTTTCTTTATTTAAGAACAAAATTCTTAAATACCGAGTAAATTTAGTCATGCAATCTAAAAATTTAATTATCTTTTTATACAGTTTTATGCATAACAAGAGAAAAATTATCATCATAAAGATTATTTTTAAGCATACAAATTTGGCCTTTCGTTTTAAGAAATTCACCCAATGAAAGTAGATTAAACGTAAGAGTTAAAACTGAGTATCAATTTCAGAACAACCCCAAGTATTATCTAAGACAACTATTGTCTTTGGTGCAAATGACTAAATACTAATGACCACACACTGCAATCAAGATTCTATAGGAAGAACCACACATCCGCTCCTTACCAGGGGATCCCCCTCCGTGTCAGGCTGTGGAATGTGCTTTGAGGTTGTGGCTTCCTTGGTGGAGATGCAACCCTCATACCCAACATCTTCTGGTCGCAACTGAAGTAACGCTGGGCCCTCCTGAGGCACAGATGCTGAGGTCCATGGGTAGGTATCAAGCACCCACTTTGAGGGATCTTCCCAAGGTGCCCGTTTCCCATACATCTAAAAGGGGATCAGATATTTAGCACATATAAAATACATTTCTATTTAGTAAAAAAGGCAATTGGTGATTGAGTGATTCCTTTGCACACTGAGTTTTTATGGGACTTTCAAAGGAATTACTGTGTATGTACAATTTTCCATATTTTAAATATATAGCTGTCTACATAGCTCACTTTAAACTTGAAGGCTAGATAAATAATAAAGCTGAATATTGGGAAAAGATGGTCAACATTTGGGGGAGAGTGTGAGGGAGGTTTATTTTAAATAACATGTTGAAATGACTGCCCATATTTATCTTTATTAGTAATTTTACAAACCAAAAGGAAACTCAAAATGCAGAAAGAAAAGTTCCAGTTATGGAGAAATGAACAAAGCTATGCTAGACACTAAACAGAATTCTCCACTAAAGTGTACCCTGGAAAGATGACTAAAAAAAATAAAAAAGAGGGATTTCTTTTTCTCTGTCTAGTTCACTCTACTCAAAATTCCTTTAAGAATACTTTCTCTGATAACCATTTTCCTCAAATTAATTTCATCTAACAATCTCGTTGCTTCCTGTAAAAACTCTTTTTAGATGTTTGTTTATAAGGTCACTAGTGAAAGGAGAAAACTATGGGAAACGAAATCATCAACTTTGTGAGGAGTCACATGGAGGGAAAGTCAGTAATTNGAGAGTGTGAGGGAGGTTTATTTTAAATAACATGTTGAAATGACTGCCCAATATTTATCTTTATTAGTAATTTTACAAACCAAAAGAAAACTCGAAATGCAGAAAGAAAAGTTCCAGTTATGGAGAACTGAACAAAGCTATGCTAGACACTAAGTAGAATTCTCCACTAAAGTGTACCCTGGAAAGATGACTAATAAAAATAAAAAAGAGGGACTTCTTTTTCTCTGTCTAGTTCACTCTACTCAAAGTTCCTTTGAGAATACTTTCTCTGATAACCATTTTCCTCAAATTAATTTCATTTAACAATCTTGTTGCTTCCTGTAAAAACTCTTTTTAGATGTTTATTTATAAGGTCACTAGTGAAAGGAGGAAACTATGGGAAACAATATCATCAACTTTGTGAGGACTCACATGGAGGGAAAAGTCAGTAATAAAAAGGTGATAAAGGCGGTTAAAGCACTGGCAGTGGAGTAGAGGGAGAGAATGAATCCAAGAGACATTAAAAACCATGCTGGGCAGGGCACACTGAGGAGACTGTAAGAAAGTGTAAGGCACATGGGGAGAGAAAGAGAAGTTAAAATGAGGAGGGCAGTAAAGTGGGTGCGCCAGTTCTCCCCCATCTCCCGGGGGCAGTCCTGGTTGCCAGGAGCATATTGGGTCGCAGGTGGCGTTCTTGGAGGTGTTCTGTGTCGCTTGCTGTGGTTCAACGAGACAAAAGCAAAATGGTGGGCAATGAGGCCTTGAACTGCCTTTGGGTTTCTCCTGGACAAGACGTATGTGGTTGCGGAAGCTTTGCCTTAAAGAAATGAGCCCAGGTCTTGGTATTTGTGTATTTCTTCAGGAGATGATGGGAGGGGTAGCAATCATGAACTTTTTAAAATAGTTCTCTTGTTTTGGAGCAGAAGTTCTTTTAGTTAAAAACTTACTTTAGAAAGGATGTAAAACAGCTTGCTATACAACTTAAACTAATTGAAGAAAAATGTGTAATTCTTGGAAAGCAAATGTTACAAAAAGAATATGAAAGTCTAGAATCAACTGATGCCAGATTTTTAAAGGATCACCAAGGACAGCAAAATAGGTGATTGATAAAACGGTAAACACATCCGATTCTATATTTCAGAGTTTAACAGATTTAAAAAATAATCGAAAAAAGAGAAATTTAAATATTCAGAATGAGAAGAACTCATTGTTGACATTTCAAGAAAGATAGAATCACCAGAATAAAAATCAGAATCCCTTGCATCACCAGGTGTTTTTTCCAACTAGAACATCTGGCACAGAGTATTCCCCATATGGTTCCTCACCAAAGCATCAGCCTTCATTTAAAAAGACATTTTTCTATTCCTCTCAACTCAGATTGTCATCTTTGCAATTAGGCTTTGTTTTTCCACCTCTTGCTCCAATTCAAGATTCTTTGCTGCAGTAGTAGATCCAAGGAAATGGTTCATGATATAAGTGATTCTTTTCTTCCCACTCCTCCAGAAGACATATATGGACCACCCAGGAACTCAACTTCTGGCTTAGCACAGCCTTCAGCAGCAATGAGAACTGTCTACCCACCAAAGGGTTTTCCTTTTTTAAAAATCCTTCCCATGTTCTGGATTTTCCTCCCAAACTCCTTACATCATAGCTGATTCAGCATTCACACTAACCTACTACTCAACATCCAGAACCCCAGCAAAAAACTTCAACATCTTTATCCTTTTTAAAAAATAATTTTGAAATATCTTTCAGTTTTAGTTGGGAAACTGATATCATTTTTCTGGTTATACTTTTCTCCAAATGGAAGCTTTACAGAATTATAATTCTCAGGATAGTGTTTTATAAATAATATGTATTTAAATACTTTTTTTAAAAAATGAGATCTAAGAAATCTAATTGTTTTAAGTTTTTGAATTTTCCATAAGCAACAACTGCCTAAACCTTGACTGAGTTAGTGAAAAGAAGATTGGATTCTTCTATAATAAGGTAGGTAATTACATGACAGAAAACATTTCAACCTTGAGTTTTATAATTCTACAATTTCATGAAATTTCAACTCTAATTTAAGGAAATAGCAAAACTAATGGAAAAGGGATAATATGTTTTGTTGAAGAAACAGGGTTTTCTTATTACTAATATGTTTTGACCTTTTAGTTAAGAGTAAATAGAAAGCTGGTTGCAGGTCCGCATGAGAGGAACAGCAGAGATGGTGCTAAACCAACTTGTCATAGAACTGCCTTAGAATTTCAAGCACTCTCTCAAAAACAGTAAAGAATTTTACAAGTGATGTTAAAGGGCTTCAAACAATAAAACACTAAAAATGGACCTATAAACAAAAACTATGTGTTGCAAACTATACAATAAGAGAATAAAGATCATAGCTCATATAAACATGCCTATTTTATAAGATGTAGGGCTCTGCACCTAATGGGCTATTTAATTAATGGGCTATTTAATAAGAACAAGTCTGTAAAAACCCATGGCAATATATTTGGCCTTAAATGTGTAGTTACTGAAATAGCCATGTTTTCACTCTCTTCTAAATATTTATTCTCAGAACAGGCAAAAGTATTACATGTTAGTGGCTCTTTAAAAGTTTACCACTATATTTATATAGCTCATGCCTAGTTTTCTGCATAAATATCCAGAGAAATGAATGTTTTTGCATTTAAATGAATGATTTTTTTTAGTAGTATTCCTTTGTATGGATATACCACAGTTTGTTTAACCATTTACCCACTAAAGGACATTTGAGTTGTCAATTTTTGGTGATTATGAATAATGCTGCTATAAACATATACAGATTTTTGTGTAAACAATAAATTTTCATTTCTCCAGGAAAAATACCCAGAAATAAGTTGTTGGGTGTTATGACAAGTGTATGTTTAACTTTAGAGAAAGCTGTCATACTACTTTCCGGAGTGGCTGACCTATTTTGCATCCCTACCAGCCATATGAGATTTTCAGTGGCTCCATATTTCTCCCCAGCATTTAATATTGTCATGAAAAACTTTTAGAGACACTTCAGTAGGTTTGCAGTGGTATCTCACTGTGTTTTTATTTTTACTCACCTAATAATTAATGATGTTTAGCATCTTTCCCTGTGCTTAAATTAATGATGTTTTTAAAACAGTAAAGAAAATTCAGTCCTATACCTGAAGACCTTCTCTTACTGCCTCCAGAATATAAGGTACCAAAGAATAGTTCCAGAGATCCATGAACCATACTCTAGAACCTTCTACATCCATGGGGCAAGAAAGAAAAAGTCGGGGACCTGAGAAGAAACAAATAACAAAACATTTTAAGAATAATTATATTTAACAATCTAAACACATATTTAGACATGATATGGGGGAAAGTAGGATTCTTAGAAAATTTTAATCTTGGCCAGTTTGGTTATTATTAAAGTATATTTTACAAAAGACCCAATCTCCTCCAGACTCTTTTCTTTTTATACTAAAATCTTAATAAAAAAGATGATATATTAGAGTTAGGAGAAACCTTAAAGGTCATAATCTAGTCAATCTGTCCCATTTTACAAATGACGAAACTTGTTCTGAAATGAATTGCCAAGTATGAAATATGTCATTCATTTTTCTAATCTATACTGTGTGTTTGGTGAGTATGTCTTAATGATCCAGAACAATGGGAAATGGACTTTTACACATGTAACTTAAGAAATATACCAAAAAAAACTTTATGCCAACTAAAGAAAAATAATTCAAACAATGTTGTCTTCATGAAAAATATAAAATACATGAATTATCTATAAAACACCTAAATTATCTCTAAAATCTTCTCTCACAACTCTATTTGATATGAGCCATTAGCTAAAATTTGTTTTTAGCATAAAAAGGCACTCTAAACAGATACAATTTATTTCAAACGGTTATCTGATTTTTAGAATATGTCTATATTAAACTTATTCGATCTCAGTAATATCTTAGTAAACCACAACTGTCAGACAAATTGGAGATTCAAAGCTTAGAAGGCAACCTTTCGGAAAGGGAAGAAAGAAAACAAATCTTTGGAAGCTTGAGAAACATAAGCTTCCCTTGTTATTTTCTACCATTCAGTCTGGCCATCGTTACCACGTACTCTTATAGTTCCTGGAAAATGGCATATTGCAATTTTGGAACTCACCAATGGTAACATCAGAAGAACTGTGTGTTTCCAAAAAACTATTGAGATGATGCCATGTCTTAGGAATCCAATCTATAATTTTGACTAGGTCATTATTGCGTATGTTCCTTTCAATTTCCATCTCTATCAGTTTCCTTCGAAGATATCTGCCTAAGAAGCCTTTCACTGGTTCAGTGTGGTTTGCACATAGTACCCACCTACAAAAAGAAAAATACATATATCAAAAATCTTTACATAGTTAAATTTTAAGTCCATAACAATTCTCTTTCCACTACAGAGTTCCTATTTCCATGGGTGTCCACATTTCAATGATCAAAGGAGCTAAGACGTCTATTAGCATTTGAGCTATTATGCAACTAACTCTTCTTTTTGAGCTAAAGAGAGGCTCCTGTGCGTCAGAAGTGAGTGGGAGCATCCATGCTGAGCACCCTTCTGCAGGAGAATCACAAATCCTGAAATAGGAACTCTCTTCACAGTCCTCACACTTAGGAGAAGTGTTCTGCTTTAGCTAGTGACATAGTGAGCAGGAAAAATGCTTCTTTTCTTTTCTTTTCTTTTCTTTTTTTTTTTAAAGAAACACTTCTTATTACAGGTTGAGGATCACACAATGTCTGCTTGAGAAAGAGCGTCATAGGAAGTGAGAATTATTTTCACACCACAGGTCACCGCAGGCAGGATCTGTCAATGCACAAATGGAAAAACAACAACCAAAGCAAACAGAAAAAGACAGTGGGGAAAAAAAGCAAAAACTCTCCAAAAACCAAAAAACAAAGCATTCAATTTATCTTTACCTGAAATTGTGATGCAGCTCTAGATTTGGTGATGAAGAAACTCCCTGATTCATTGTTCCAATAATATATGGACTGCAAAAAAATATAAAAAAGTAGACTATGCAGATATACTGAAAAGTAAAATACATTAATGTATTAAATTGTCTTAGAAAACAATTTAGATAATTATGATTATTCCATGTTATAATTGGGCTTTAAAAGGGTAATTCTGTAATGGTAGCTTGCAAAATGACAAAGATCACTGAACTGGGAATTAGGGTTTGGTGTTGTAATTTCAGCTCTCGAATTCTAGGTGAATCATTTTCCCTCTCTGAGCCTAAGTTTACTCATCTATAAAATAAAAAGATTAGACGGAATAATCACAGTGGTCTCATCCCACTCTAACATCTTATGATTCTCATGCTTATAAAAAAAATCATCAATTTTTCCTCTATTATTATTTCATAGTTATTTTAAAGGTTCTTAATAGCATGAACAAGTTTGTATTCTTGCTTCAGTATTTATTTTATGCTGATCTATATTAAAAAGTTTAAAAATCTCTAGCAGAGATTAATTGGAACACTTGCAACATTAAAACTAATGCTTATTCTATTGTACTTATATGCCTTTTTTTAGAGGTCATGCTAATGATCTTAAGTGGGTTTTCAGATTTTTTATACCTTATTTTAACATTTTCTTTCATTTTAAATAGTTAAAAATTAGACCCATTAATGGAGAAAGGTATATCTGAATATATGAAATCTGTCTCTACAGGAACGCTGAACTGAAACTTTGATATGGACTGAGAATGAAACCAGAGCTCTAAAGCCTCATTCTAGTTCTTACTTTTCCTTTCAAACATCCTATCATTGATACAGAATCCCAGACCTCCTGCATATCTGTTGAAGCTAACGTCATCGGGTAAATCATGTTTCCATAATCATGCCTGGAATATCGTTGTTGAAAGAATAAGCAGATTTTCTAAGAAATACATAGAGCATTTTTAGCAGTAATGTGTAGTATTAACGAAGGCTTCTCAAATTAATGACATCTGTTATAGGTCTTAAAAGGCAGGAAGGCATAAGAAACCAAACTTGATCACAATTTTTTTTCTGTTTCATCATTCAAAGTATTTCATAAGCATACCATTTGTTGTATTTACAGTTGAGGAAACCATTGAAGATATCACTCAAAGAGCCCACGTGATGAAGATTATCGAGGATTATTACAGCTGGGAGCTCTGCAGCACTGTTGTCAGCACGGCACTGCTCAGCCAGGCTAGCCAGATACTGTTGCAATTCCTTTACAAAAAATAAAGAAAACAAGCACATCAACAACAAGTTTATACCACTGGCAAGAATTTCATATTATAAGAAGAGCAGACTCTGTCCTCCATTCAGTACCTTTGATTAAAACTCAAAGAATATTCTACTGACATAAACCCTTATTCTACAAAGCCAGTACACAACACCCGCAACAAATATAAAACCGAAACGCCAAAGCAGATTTCCCAGTTGCCTTTTCCCCTGACGCAAAGCAGAAACAGAGTTCCTGATGTGAGTTCTGAGGATAAACCACAAATATTAAGACTTCATTCCTGTTTTTGAAATTTCAATGATAAAAATAGATTTTAGCAAACCTTATGATTACAAGTATAAAATAAATCCAAAATGGCACCCCTAAATTTCCACATATGCTTTAAACATTTTAATTCCAATTCATTTCAATGGGGGTGGATCTGAAAGTCCTGCCCTGAGACACAGATAAAAGCATGGTTATTTATTATTTATTTATATTTATCTGCATGCAACTGCTCTAATTATAAATAAAGCAAAAAAGTTGTTATATTCCACTGGGTTAATGGACATTACACTTAGCATTTCGTGAGCTTCTTGGTTCTTTTACAGTCATTATTTCTTTTTAATAGCTTTTAATCTTTGTAGGATAACCAGTTCCCTGATTGACTGCTCTCACAGATGCGTAGGCCAAAAACGTAATTAGGTTTCTTAGAATTATCCTAATCAGTAAGAACATTTCCATAACATTTGCATATTTACAATGACATTTTCAATTTGTAAGTCTTGCTCAGGGTTAAAAACAATTCCATGACCTCTATTGCTGGCAGCCAGGTAAATTATGTGAACTGCTCACCCTAGATGCAACTCCCTCTGTCAGTAATAGTTTCTACTTTTAAAACTAAAAGTAGAAAGGGGTAAATGACATTAACCAGAGTTTTGAGGTATTTAGTAATATATTCAAGTTCACATATAAAATTTATTAAGGAGCTAATATACTATCTTATATTAAGCCAATCACACAGAATAAATATTGCTGAAATCAGAGATTACAGAAAAACATGTTTAAACTGGTGAATGGTCTAGAGAATTTCATGTATCTTATTTATATCAATAATCTAGCTATATTGAGTCATTCATTTACTTATAAAATATTCACCATCTATCTACTATGTTCATAACCAAACGTTGGGGTGTATATAAATAATGAAGCATTGTTCAAGTAAGTTTAACATTTATTATGAACTGAATCAAGTACTGTTCTGGGCACAGGGGTTAAAAAAGTACTCAGACTGTCTTCCCCCACAGACTTTAAGAGTTGTCACATTAGGGACTGAAACTTAAATATGATAAATCATTTGATGTCATAGTGTATTAGGAGCTATGAGAGGTGAGGGGAGGAGATTTCACCTAGCTGGGGGGTGTCAAGGAAAGCTTTCGAGAGGAGGTATTGCCGGAATTGGGAGGGCGGTAGGCACATGTATAACTAATGAACTTACAAATGGGATGTGAAACATTCCATAACAGGGTAAAGAGATGTGCCTGTAGGAGAGAGAAAGATTACTTCCAACTGGGTGTTCTCCATGGACTTCACAGAGAGGTGGAATTTGAGATAGATCTTGAGTAATGAGTAGAATTCCAAATGATAAACATGCAGTTATTTATCCCTTCAACACACCTTTAGCAAGTACTTACTATGTATCAAGTATTCTGGCACCAAGGATTCAGAGAATGTTTCTGTATTTCATGAACTTAGAGCTGATATACAGAAAGGCAGGTCAACAAGTAAATCACAATACAGTGTGATAAGTGAAATGCACAACACACAATAGGGAAACTTAGGAGCAGCATCTAACGCAGACTTGAGGTTCAGAGAACAACAGGGTAAAGGGGTGGGGGGAACTATCACAGTCTAATGAATAAAGAGGGAAAGGTGGAAGGCAGGAGTGTGTGATGTGTTTGGGGAAATAATGAGTGTTCTGTTGTTGCAAAAGAAATGATACATAGTCGTGGTGGTCACATGAAAGCAAAAACAGAAAAGACTTTGAATTCATTCAGAGGAATTTGGATTTTACTATATAAGCAACTGTGATCTATTAATTTCTTTTTCAGTAGGGAAAAGCAGTTTATTTATTAAAGGAAACATAAATGTGAAGGATATGATGATTAATTATAGATGGAAAAGCTTTCAAGAAGCACAGTACCCAGAAAAGTAGGTTAGGCTTGTGTGTATGTATATAACTATACTTCGCAGTAAAAATACATTACTTCAAAAAAGTATAAAGCAAAGATGTTGTTCAGAGCACACAAGGATCACTTGTAGCTGCTGGAAAAGACTTTCTCGTGGCAGCATTACTGCTATTAACCCTTTATTTTTAAGATTGAGCAGTGTTTTGATGCTTAACAACAGAAAAGCTTCCCAAATAGAGCGAGAAGAACAATGAGAGGCAGAAACACAAAAATGTGATATCTAGGTAGGAAAGACACAGTCACATATGTGCGGTGAATGTCAATAGTGGTAAATAAACTGGAAAGGAAAGTGCGCAACCTTGAATGATTAGTAAGGTTACTGGAATCTTCCTATTGGCAAGGATGAGACATTGAATGTTCTGGGAATCCGAGGAATGTAGTCAAAATCATAATTTCAAAGCGTGGAAACTATAGTGTAAAGGAGAAAAGGGAACCAGTCAAAAGAATACTGAATGTGTAGAAACTAAAACACACGATGGGACTCAATGAAGACAGAAGTGTGGGAAGATTTCTGATCATGCAGAAAGCAATGGGGAAAAAATGGCAGAATTTTAATGTGTCAGATTTTGATATTTCCCATGAGGTGAAAGGATAAAGACAGGAAGAGAGAGAAGGGAAATTAAATGCAAGTTGTGAATCACGCAGTGAGAAAACAATGATAGTAGCCCAGCTGATAGTGTGTTAATTTGGGCGGGAGGGCGGAGACAGTAGAGATGGATGGAAGATGATGGATTTATGATTATTTTTTTCAGAGTTAAGATTGGCATTTAGAAAAATATATATTTAGTGTGCTAACATAAACATCTTTGTAAGCTAACGGAATGAGAGCTGGCACGGCTAAAAGTAGTGTCGATACAAGTTGACACCAAGGGAGTCACCCAGATGGGAACAGATGTGGGAGAGAACAGGGTGTGCTGGAATATTTTTACTTACTGGTAGGTGAAGGAAGAGTAGTCAGTGAAAGAGACTAAGAAGGAGCTTTCTATACAGTAGGAAGGAAACTAGGAAAAAGTGAAAATCAGAAGCATTTCTAGAAAGGGGGGGTGAACTGTAGCAGTTTGCTATACGTAAGGGGGGGGTCAGCAGCAGCAGCACAGTGCACTGGATTTGGTAATTAAGAAATCACTGGGCGACTTTTGGAAAAGTAGGGCCGTCAGGTTCTATCACGGTTCCCTCTCATCTTGAGAAGGGTAGTCAGTGGAAGATCCCCCTGGGAATCTAAGAAAAGCTATGGAACAGTTGCAAATAGAAATCAGCCTACGCAAAACATTTTGTCGTATAAATTAAGAGCTGTTCAGACCTTTTGGAAATCCTCTCATGACTCTCACCTTAGCCTAACTGGGGACGAAGTCTTAGATTGAAGAACGATGCATTAGCACTAAGGTCTCACGCCCAAGATCAAATCGGGCAGTATAAAACAGGTGTATCTACCCGATGGACAGCGATGATGAAATGAATCCCGTATTTGAAAATATACACAGAAAACAGCAGTTATATAAACACTGTTGATCATTGCTTTCTCTGGTTTTGACTCTAGGCACACGAAAAATAAATCTGCCACGTCCAGTTTTCTGATCTCTCCCCACCTAACATTGCCGGTGGCTTCAGATGGCCACACAGTCTCTGCTAAACCCATCTCTAGTCTCGGGGCCACGGTATCGAATGTCAGCAAGCAGAACTGTTTCTGTGTGCTGCTCTCAATCAAAATATTCCAGCTGGCAGCTTGAGGGAGGGCTTGAAGAGTGAGAGGAGGGACAGAATGTGAAATACAGACGTACCAAAAGCACGAAAAGCTTTTTTTTTTTTTCTTTTGATGGTTTATTGTTCGATGTTTTGGAATCAGTGAGTGCTTTTTGGCTTCATCCCTTCGGTGCCATCTATGGCGCAGTATAAAACACATCAACAATTACAAAGCGCCAGTTTTCAGGGACAGGGTTTATTATTTTGTGCCTCATTCCCACTTCACTTAATAAATCGACACCGCTAGCAGCTACCCCTCGCACAATCTCACTTTGTCATCCCTGTTCCTTTATGACCATTCTCACCTGCCACTCCCACGAAAACAAACCAAACCAAAACAAAAAACAAAATGCCAGTGTAGATTCTCTCACACTTTGGCAAGAATTAACCAAATTCTCTGGCAACAGCTCTGCATCCAGCATGACTGATAGCTCACTCCTCTCTTACAAACATAAAGGAAAAAATAAACATTTGTTAGTTGCATTTTGCACTTTCTTGGTGCTGACTGCCACAGGATTTGCCCACGGTTGTTGTTTTTTCCCCTATTACTGCTTCTGAGCATCGCTAGTTGTATTCGAATACTCCTGGCAATGCTTTTATTCCATTATTTTATAATAACAAAAACTAAATTGACCTAATAATGGCACAAATTATTGTATTATAAAATAGCAGAAAATTAAGAATGTTGGGAATATTACAGCAAAAAAATGTTTAAGGACACATACAATGTTGATAAGAACAGCTCTAAGCACTAAACATTTTTTTTTTTTAACTGAAATAAACAGAACTTATATATAATAGTGAATTTAGAGGTAAGGCAAATTTTAAAGTTAATGTTAATTAACCTACTTTGTTTTCCCATAATGAAACTACATCCTAATGAAGCCCAAATCAATCTGACTTAAAACCTGATTTTAAGTGATGCCCAACTTCATCAGAATGTCTTGGTTTCCTGTAATAAGTCTAGCCTTCTATTTTCTAACCACTTGTTTTCTCTTAAAGAGAGTGATGTTTAAAGAGTTCTGTCACATCAACACTGAAGGTATGCCAAAAAGCACACTGAGGGTGACGAAGAAATGCCAACCCTTTTATCATTTTGGCTGAAAAGGGAAAAAAAATATATGTTAAAATGTTTTTAAATAAAGAGATGAGGAGACCCAGAATTCACAGTTGGCATTAAACAATGTTGGCTGCAGCCGGCAAACGATTGTGTTCTTCCTACTTCTTAGAAAAGAGTCAGACACCCTGCCCCAGGTCCCATGTCTCCTGAGCTGTAATGAGTAAGGGTGAGTCAGCCACATTCTGAATAGTGCCGAGTCCCAAGGAAATATTTGGAATACATGTTTGGAATCCATTTCTTCTAGGCTGCCCAGTTAGTTAGCACATAGCTGTTTATTTAACTTTAAGAGATCCCATCGTGCTTTATGACACCATTGTTCTCCTTGAAAAATACATGTAGGGCAATTTTGAACAAAGTGCTGTGTGTGAGTGTGCGTGTATGTGTCTAAAGGGGTCTGTGCGTATTTGTTTAAAAAAAACCATCAGTGGGAGGCAAGGGCTATAATTAATAACACAGGCAACACTTACACTGCACTTGCTATTGTACTGCTATCTTCCTCACACACAGTATACACACACACTTAACTTACTAAATTAATTGGTTAGATCTAAGGGTTTTTTGGTTGAGTCTTTAGGATTCTTTCTCTATAAAATCATGTCATCTGCAAAAAGGGAACATCTTACTTCTTCCTTTCTAATCTTGATACGTTTTATTTCTTTCTCTTGCCTAACTGCTCTAGCTACGACTTCCAGTACTCTGTTGAATAGTTGTGGTGAGAGTGGGCACCCTTGTCTTGTTCCTAATTTTAGAGAAAAAACTCAACCTTTCATCATTGAGTATGATGTCAGCTGTGGACTTGTCATAGATGGCCTTTATTTCGTTGAGATGCGTTCCTTAGATGCCTAATGTATTAAGAGTTTTTATCATGTTGAATTTTGTCAGATGCTTTTTCTGCTTCTATTAAAATGATCATATGATTCTTTTCTTTCATTTTGTTAATATGTTGCATCATGTGATTGATTTGTGTATGTTAAACTATTCCTGGATCCCTGGGATAAACCCAACGTGGTCATGGTGAATGATCCCATTAATGTGCTGCTGAATTCAGTTTGTTTTCTTTTCTAGTAGTGTCCATTTCTGGTTTTGGTATCAGGAGAATAGTTGGACCCATAAAATGAGCTTGGGAGTGTTCCCTCCTCTTTGATTTTTAAAAGAGTCTGAGAAGGATCGTTGTTAATTCATCTTTAAATGTTTCATATAACTCACCAGTGAAGTCATCTGGTCCTGGGCTTTTCTTCATTTGAAGATTTTTTTATTACTGATTCAATCTTCTTACTAGTAGTTGATCTACTCAGATATTATAATTCTTCCTGATTCATTCTTGGTAAAAGTTGTATATTTCTAAGAATTTTTCCATTTCTTCTAGGTTGCCCAGTTTGTTAGCATATAGTTGTTCATACCATTAAAAACTTTTTATTCACTAAGCTACATGTATGGTTCATTTCAAGAATCCACTGGATTTCTGGTCCTTTGGGAGTCATGTTTATTTCTGAAAATTTGCAGGCCTAAGTTTTCTGAGAGTTTGGGTCAGTTTAGATCATCTAACCAGTTATGTGGAAAAACAGCATGGCCCAGTATCACGTGGATTCCCTCATGGACTACTCATAACACATGCAATTTCCTAAGAGAAACTTAGGTTGAATTAATTGAGAATGAAAGAATAATTATAGGAAAAGTCTAGTGTTAGGTGTAAACAATTTCTTTTTTAAGATTTTTTATTTTACTTAGAATATATAAAAGTACTAACTGGGTGTTATAGCCTCTCATGCCTATTTAGAAGCTGAGGGTGTTCAAGCTGACTATTATGGTACATGAGATTTGAGTTGATGCTAAAAGGAAATACTGTTCAATTTCCTAAGGTTCCTACGCAGAAATCCTATAGAAACATGATGTAAGCAATTGTTGCTCCCAGAATTTCTGCCTGGGATATTCTAATTATACCCAAATCCCCATTACTGCCATACTTCAGTTAATCCCTACTTACTTATTAAAACCCAGACCAAGTACTGACTTTTTATAAAGCTCTGATTCCTCCAGGGATTGTTATTTTTACCTCTTGTATCTATAGCACTTTTCCTGGGTCTCTTTCTACTCCAACACTTCCTAAGATAAATCAGATAATAGGGACTCTGCCGTTTTCTTCTGTATATTCCCAATGCTTGTGATAACTTAATGGTATCGAACAGCAAAGTCACAAAGCAGCATTTAGACATCTACCTCCTATTAGTTTTAGTCAAAGAGATGGATACGTTTCCATGTACAATATGGAACTTTTACTCAGTCTTACTGCCTAATTGCTTTAGACACTTACGGATGAACAGCAGAAGTTCTCGTAGGAATCTGTGACTTACCTTACTTGACTTGTGGTCCACATTAAAAGTAGCAATTGCATCCTCTGTTTTCTTCCTCCCAGATTTGGTTATTACATATTCAGCAAGTTTGTTTGCTAAATAGGTCTTTCCAGTACCACTGGGTCCCGAGAGTATAATCCTGTGATGCTCCATCAACAAGTTAAAGTACCTTTGGGTAATTGGCTTAGGGATCAGTGTATCAAAAACGAAACTGTCCAAACTGTTTTCCTCTACCCCTGAAGGAAGAAACAAAGGGAACAGCTTGCCTTATTGTTCTACACAAGCTACAATTTAAAATATAATGCCAACTCACAACAAAGCTTTGTTATTCATAGCAAAGGAGTCCTTGCAGGACACTTTCCTTGGTACTTCTATCCCACAAACCCATGCTGCCAATTTAGGACAGAAAACATTGGTAGTAAGACAGAAGGAACATGCCAACGATCCAAGCCATTGCCTTTTGTTCAGGCTTCCTTCCACTGTCTACTTTGCATTTCCCACTGAAGTTTCCAGAGAGAGGTGGAAGCATTGCTATAATTTCTGTTATAAAATCTCACTCCCTTCGAAGGTGGTAGTCTTAAGAATAAATGTAAGATTGAAATATAAAATACAAGTGCGTGTGACTGCGTTCTCCCCTTTGCGTGTGACTGCGTTCTCCCCTTTTCCCTCCCGTTTCTCCCCTGCATTTTCATTTAGCTTTTATTCCATCCCAGCTGGACAACCACTTGAGCTTTTGAAAAACACAAACTGTGATATTTGGCAAGAAATTAAAAAGGAGAGAAACAGTATCTGCTTTTACTTAATCATAAAATCAAATATTGACAAATTCCTCTAGTAATTCATAGTTTGTATAGGTGTGTCCTGATTTTTTCACATGTATGAACAAGGATTTATGGAGACAAGTATGATTTAGATATTCTATTTGCCTATAATTAATCACAACACCCAAAGCAAAGAAAACAGAATTTCTCACTCTTGATTCTTAACTTCCATTCTCTATCCCCAGTGGGTATTTGTTGGGTACACATATTTTAAAATCAAAGATATAGTGATGAATATATTACTTTGGAATATACAATACATTTTGTGAATCCTCCTAACATTAAAGATGATAATGGGAGAAACCTAGAAACTTGAAATTCCCTAAATCACATTCCTTTTTTGTAAATCCTGGAGAATTTTCAAAATTACATTCCAAGTTTCATATCATCAAATTCAAAGAATTTCATTTACTTGGATTTTAGTGTCTTAAGTAGGATTTCTGTGTTTAAAATACAAATAAACTGATGAACAAAATAGATCCAGAGACACAGAAGCATGAAACAGACTTATGAATCTCAGAGGGAAGGTGAGGGGAAGGTGGGGGAGGGAGGAGAGATTAACCAAAGAATTTATATGCATATCATATATGCATAACCCATGGACACAGACAATAGTGTGGTGAACGCCCGGGGCAGGGGAGGGTGGGTGTGGGTACGGGGTAGAAAGGGGTCAATGGGGAGAAAAAAAGACGACATCTATAATGCTTTCAACAGTAAACATAAAGTGTGTGTGTGTGTGTGTGTGTGTGTATACAGCTCATTTCATACCAAAACTATCAAAGCAGTTAACATAGTTTTCAAATATGAAAATATGAAGGAAAACTGCAAAGCAAACAAAAGAGAAATGTTGGTTAGAAAAATACAGTGTGCTCTTCTTTTCATTTTGATTTTTACCTTTCAGGTTCACAGTGATGATGTTATTATCTCCAACAAGGTATCCACAAGGCAGCAGCTCAGGCACTTCTAGGCTATGGGATCTAATTAAATCTCCTATGCAGTAGCTGGCGATGCAGTCAGAGCTCAGACCAAGGCTGGCGGATGTATCAATTCGAAACACATATTCCTAAATGGTCCACACAAAGAAGGGGAAGTCAAAACAGGTTCAGCTCGCCTACAAAAAATACAAAACTCAAGGGGATATGAAGCTAGCTGTCAAGGATTTTAGAAATGGGCAATATAAAACTCTTAATATCGAACAGTACAAAGATAGAAAGCTTTCCTTGATATTCGAAATGAAGGAGAGTAGAAACAAATATGTCTACGCCATTAAAGCTAAAGGAAGTATCCAACATGAAACATTTGAAAATTAGTATCAGGATATTTTGCACAACTTACCTTAAAGAGACGTCTAATTACACCATCTAAGACATCCCACTTGGTTTTCCCGCTAACACCAATGGATCCTATCAAATATGCCTGAGACTTCTGATCCTAAATAAGAACAAAATAAAACAAGATAAAAATCCAACTGTGTGTCTTGTCTTATTACTACATTTTCTACTAAATGTATTGACATAGTGATGATTAAGACTAACATATTTATTAAGCCTAGGGGTTTTATGGTAACAGATACACACAGTAGGTTATGTAAAGTAAAATACACCCCAACAAAGCAACCAATCAAAGAAAGAAACAGCAATAGCAACAAAAACAAGTAAGAGATTAGACGAAATGGTATGGCCAAGGAAAACTGATTCAGGACGTGTTCAGTAGAAGGGAAAGGACCAGGAGAGAATAGTCTTCCGCTTTAATGCAGTGGGTGCATTCCTGAAGAGAAGCGCTTGGTGGGCAGGAAATGGTGATAGAGAACTATCATAGGGGTCCTAGAGCTTCATCTATTTTTGTGATCTTACCTTTGTTAAGCTTTTTTTTGTTTATTAACTTAGATTATCTCTAAAATCGAATCCAGCTTTAAAAATAAGTTTTCCATGGTCGTATTGTATTCACATACTTAACAAAACTGGTCCCATTTTGAATTTATCAGAAAATTCACGATTTTAAAGGACTTGCTAGGGAATGTACAGGAATCTTTTTGGAGAGCAAAGAATTCCTTAACAATACAAATAATGGTCCCAATTTTATCTTTTTTGTAGGATGGGATTTTGAGGAATTTCTACACATCTTGGAAAAGTAAACAATTCAAGATTTATAGTCTAACTGGAGCCCCTTTTATGTAGTGGTCATGTGAAATAGTCATCATGGCACTAGGAGATATAATTAGAGAGCTGATTATATTACAATCTTGGTTCTAGTGGCCAACTGCATAGTCCTTAAGATGTGGTCAAATAATAACTGAGTCAGGTATTAGAAGACAGATTCTGCAACACACAACATCTACCACATAATTAATAAATATGACCATAGGTAAGTCACTTAGTTGGCTCAGAGCCTCAATTTCTTCATCAGTAACATTTAAGTCTATAAGAGTAAATAATTATCACCATTACTTAGACTAAGAAGCCAATGACTTTAACATAAAAAGTGGAGAAATTCACAGCAAAACCACTGTGATCTTTTTTACTACTGTTATGGACTAAATGTTGGTGTTCTCCCCCACATTCCCCCAAAATTCAAGTTAAAGCCATAACCCCCAATGTGATGGTATTTGGAAATGGGAACTTTAGGAGGTAATTAGAATTAGATTAGGCCATTGAAGTGGCCTCTCATGATGGGATTAGTAGCCTTATAAGTAGTGGGAGAGAGAGATTTCTCTCCTCCACTCCACACATTGAGGAGAGGCCCTGTGAAGACACAGTGAGAAGGTGGAAGACTGCAAGTCAAGGAGAAAGCCCTCATCAGGAATTAACTCAGCTGGCACCTTGATTTTGGACTGCAGAACTGCGAGAAAATAAATTTCTGCTGCTGAAGTCACCTAATCTATGGTATTTTGTTATGGCAGCCCAAAAAGTCTGAGACAACTATTTCCAATGTTCAAAGATACAGTCTTTAGAATTATTTTGAAAAAGAAAACTTGTTTTCCAGTGTTATTGTAACCCAGTCAAAATGCTTTATAAGCAGCTGGTTTTAACTTAGAGATAGTTTAAGCTTCACTGACATTAAGCTTTCACATTAAGACCCACTTCAGGAAATCAGACACAAATCTGCAGCTAAAGCAGAAAGTTTATGGCACTGGAATTCTTGTAATATTTGCTCAGTGTAAAAATATTAGTGCTATCTTACTTTTTTCAAAGTTAAATACTTCAATTGTTTTGAAATTCTGAAGTATTTTTTTGTTTTTCTGATTGAAAAAAAATTATATTCTTACAAATTTATATTCTTGGCCACTCAAACAGAATTTCAGCTTGAAATATTATTTTAAGTTTTAATAAAGGGCTAGAGTCAGAATGACTTGTCACTTTGAAGGCAATATTTGATTCCAAAAAAATTAAGCTACTTGCTTTCTCAGCTAAAAATGATATATACAAGTAGCATTGATGGAATTTATCATACTGAGTTCAATAGCTAGTCTTTCCAGTGTCTAGAATATTTATATAGCTTATGGTCTCTTCTTTGTATAAAGACCAAATTGGTAGATGTAGCAACATGTTACTGCGTATCATAAAGATCACCTATATTCTACAAGTGAAACCCAAAGAACATTTTAGACAAGATGTTTATGACGAAGAAAGCAATGTGTTTTTTGTAAGTTTTAGAAATAAGTGGGACTGACAATGCCATATTCAGTGAGTGGACATGATGTACCGAGGCACAGTTCTACCTATTTGATGATGTCCTTTCTTTCCAGTTCCTAACTTTTCTGCTTCTTTAACATATTAAGGCAATGACAGAACAAACACTGCTGATAATATGTTTATAGAACAAATACTGAAACATAAAATACATTTGGTTCATGGTCATTCTCAGCCTTTAGTAATAAAGAACTTAAGATTGAAGAAATACCTTTGCACGGCCGTAGCCCTTGCTTATGGAGACTATAATTTTCACACTGCGTCCGTCTTTATGTCCATTCGCATCACCAGCGTCATCTAGCAAAATATCTACCAAATTAAACAAAACACACACACACATACAATAGAGTAACGTTAGCCCAATTTGTGTGTTATCATTGTTTTCTCCCTCAGTTAGTTTTATAATTTTCAATGGGAACAGTTAGACTTTCTGCTTCCCATTCTAGCCTAATTGGTTTAAAAATTCTCAGCCCCTAAGAAGATGAATTGCTCTGGTTGGGTTCAAGTTTTCAATCTAAGATTTTATTTCAGCTTCCAAAGAGCTTCACCCAAGTGTTGGGCCATTGCCTTTAGATGAGGAAATAAGGGGTTTCCTTTTCCATTACACACCAGTCTGAGTAATACTTGAGTAATATTCAGTTACCGTTATAACTGTGACAAACTGAAAAGCAATCTTATTTTTCAATCCAATCTAAAATATCTGAGCTCAATATCCATATAATTTATGAATGCAAAGGTGCTGAGATTGACTGTCAACTGAAATTATTTTCAAGCACTTGGCACACATCCAGCTATATCACTGCTTAACTTATATCTATAATTACTAAACTGTTATTGAATTTCAACTGTGGCATTATACTTCCCTTTAGAAGTACATTAATTATCACTTTCCTCTATATGCTTATACTTTCAAAACCAGAATAGCGTTTCCAGTAATCGGCTAAGAGTTACAGAAGCATGCTAAAGCTGGCTAACCTTTAAAGTGCCAGTCCTTAAATGTGAATAAAGATAATTTTAAAAAATATATTATATGATATTAATGTCCAATTTGGAGAATTATTAAGGCAAACTATCCCAAACGTATGTTTTCCTTTGACAGTGATGCTATTATAGAGTCATGTTTAATATGAAGATAGTGTGCTGTGGGCGAAGGAAACTTGGTTACGTGCAGAAGAGCACATTTGCCTGGTGACTGGGGACTCAACTGCTCTGACTGTAATTTCATAAAAACAGGGGCTGTCATTGTGCTTATGAAAATGGAATGGTTCCATTATCTTAATAATTAGAACATGCAATTTTGCAAAGGGAGGGGTTTAAAAAAATCCCTTAAGACCATAATAATAATAATAAATCAACATTTAGAATTTAAGGAATCTGAAGATTTTTGCTAGAAATTTTTTAATCATCAAAGACTGTCTCCCTTACCGCAATTTAAGTATTTTACCAGATTAATATACTTATAGCCTCTCACCTTTCACCTATCCCACTAAAAAATAAAACCCTTCCTTAAGCGTTATCTTAATTCTCTTGCCCGTTTTCTCAGAAGTTTACAGTGGATACCTAAATTTCTTATAGTTCATGACCAAATTAACTTTTTAGTACTTTGCTCAAGTACTCATAAATGTTGATAAATATTAAAAAATATTTATGACATGTAAAATATATCAGAACCTGTGCTGGGGACTGGAAATAAATGCCAAGGTGAGACGGAAAGTTAATTTCCTACTTTTTTGTAGTATGCATTCTCAATGAGATAGTTTCATGTTAAGTGTAGGAAATAAAGGGCACAGGGCAGTAAAACAGTAAGTGAAGGGAGCCTGCTCTAGACAGATAGGTCATCTTGGAAGGCTTCCTGGAGGAGGTGGTATTAAAGCTAAGACTAGGAGGCAGAGAAGTGGTATGCAGATGAAGACCTAGAAAAAGAAGTCCAGTCAACACAAACAAATGCAAAAGTCTTGATAAAAGAGCTAGGTGTGTTCAAGGAACAGATGGATATTTGGAATGGCAGGAGCATGGAGACTACAGGGAGAGTGGGGAGTGTATGAAATGATGCTGAAGGGGGTAAGGGCCAGGTCATATATAACCTAGTAGTTCATAATAAGGAGTTTAATCTGATTTCTGATCCACTTGTCTGATCAAGTTTGCCTTAGAAGATGTTAATTATTTTATGTCATGTTTACTCTTTAAAACTATACTTAAAATATAAACTGTCTCCTGACAGCAACAGGGTAAATATTTACCAACAAATTAGTGACTGACTGTCCTTGGCTCTTGAGTTTGTGGCTACTTAAAGCAAAATGAATATAGTAGTTAAAAGTTCAGGCGCTGGATTCATTTAGTTTTGGGTTCAAATATTAGCTCTGCCACTTACTAGCTGCATGATCTTCAACAAATTATTATAGTCACTTTCCTAAGTCTTGATCTCCTCATCTGTAAAATGGGGCTCAAATAGCATCTGCTTCATAGGGTTACTGAGAGCATAAGAGATTATGCTTTTAAAGTACTTTATTCTCAGTGTTTAATAAATTTAGCTGTTCTAATTGCTATTCCTCTTCTTCATGTGTTTATTTTAACTGCTTCTATTGATGATGGGAGGAGCCCATGGTGACTCACTCTGGGTCTCCCCCTGTCCCCAGTATATGGTAGGCTGATCACCTGAAGAAACAACTCCCAGGAAAAACAAAAAACAGCAAGTTTGAGTTAAGGGTCCTCTGTATTTTTTTATGGAAAATTAGTTATGGTCCTCTGCAAACATTTTGAGGGAAGAATAAAAAGATCTGTCATTCTGGTTACAATAAAGTGAAATTTTGACTCCCTCCAAAAAAAGGCTTTTCAAACTTCTGCCTTACTGGATATATGGAGCCTGAAGTTATGTTTCAGCAACTGGACAACTGTCAATTATCCTTTCCTTTTTTAAAATGAATTAATCATGAACCTGAGGAAGTTTTTCTGTTAAAATGTCCCATCATAAATGTGCTTTTGATGTCCAATTTTGAACTCACTAAGTAAGAGTAAAGGCAATATCAATGAACACAGAAATTGTAAATTTGATTTCTTTAGTTTTATATTTAATCTTTATGAGTTCTAGTCTTTCCTGGACATGAATTTTAGTTTCATTTTTATATGGCTGTTCTTTCTAAATTACCGTTAATACTAACCTTGCCTTCTTCAAACCTTATCATATTTCCCTAGGACAAAACAAAACTATGCAACAGGCAGTGAAATCCTGCCATTAAGTCACCTTGCAAGGAGCCAGCCCTTGTGTTTCCTTGGGAGTCAAGCCCTGGGCCACACGCAGGCACTGACTGCCACAGGCTCATGGGTCCCACTTCATGTCCCTGTCAGGTTCACCACCAAGAAGTCAACAGATAGGCCATTTCTCAGGCTTCTCTGATTCTACATAGTTTAAGTTTTTGTTCTTTCTTTTTAAGCATCTTTTGAAAACTGTGGATGAACCTTAGAGACAATTCATACATTCAAGTTATTACCATAGTTCCATAGTTTTGTTTTTTTTTTATACTTATTGATTTGTAAGTTTGTTATGACTTTTCTCTGTTTTTTCTCGGCTGCTAATATTTGTTTTACAGGGTGCTTACTTATTCTCAGAACTAATTTTCCTTCCCCAGTCCCCACCAAAGGTTATTATAGACATTGTTTTCCTGAATTTCAGGAGTTCCTACTTGCTTTTTATAAGAAGAAAGCAAGCATACATGCAGGACATTCAGGGCAGATCTAATAGAATTTTTTAAATTTTGACATTTTAGAAGCAAGAGACATGATTTAAAATGTCATCGATATTAGCATGTGGTATCTCTGGTTCTCTCATTCATTTTTGTCGTCATCTTCTATATTTTAGTGTAATTTAAGGCACCTCATGAAGTTTCTCAGTTCTAGAATGGAATCCAGTTACCCAGGAACATGTATATTATTGATTGTCAAGCGTCACCTGGTGGCTGTACCCTGCAATTACACAGATACACATGCAAATCTTTCCTGAACTAAATCTTATGTGAATAAAATAATTCAATATTGTAGGAGCTGTTATAATTTATAACTGAATAGTTTGTCAGCCATTAAGACAACATTACATCACATCATCCTATTTGCAACTGAATAAAACTGCACCCTTGGTCCATCCTTAGTACCACTGATACAATAACAGAATCCAGTGTGTGCTTTCTGTTGTTTGTTGAAAATTTAATAGAGCTGCAGACTAAGCGATTAGCAGCATCGTTACATTCTCTCTCGGCAAATTCACTCGGGATCTTCTAGTCAAATTTAGTAACAGGTCCTGATGCACTTGGAAATGGGCTCTGTACACTCCAAACACTATAAAATCACATGAGGTTATTAGTGTTACATTCATGAGCACTAACGATCATCAAGTTTCTTTATCCTGTCTGTAATCATGGAGAAAATACTTAAAAAGTGATATGGAAACCATATCCCTAAGCCCTCCACTCTTTCCCAGGGGATGTGCTTTTAAAATGATAACGAAGTAGAATAAATTTACAAGAGAAAAATAGGACTTCTTCTGAGAATTAGAGTGTTTACATTTTAAGGGGGAATGAGTGAGAGCAGTGGGGGGTAAGGTTCTCCAAATTCCAGTATCTACCCCCGCCCCGCCCCGCCAGGTCTTGGCATGCTTTCACTCGGGCAGGGCCTGCACACACTCACCTGAGGCCACAGGCTCTGTGATGTTCAGGTTGTTCAGAGACAGGCCCAGCGACTGCCGCGAGGATGAGGAGGAGGTGCTGCTTGAGGACTCCGAGGGTGGCCGCGCGGGCTTAGCCGTGTTTCCAGTTTCTGCCTTCAACCGGTCATTTTCAGCCTTCAGTATTTCAATTTCATTCTTTTGTGAAGATGGGAAACATGAAAAAAATCGAACAGGTTTGACTGAGAAAATGGCATCATCTCTTTTATCAGAGTTAATTAGTTCATTTACTGAATAAAGCATGTGGTGATAAGTTAAATGAACAAACATTGATTATAAAAACAGATTTCCTCCACAAAGAAGAAAAGGTCATCTTTTCTTTCTCTCTCACATACATATATTCATGAATTCACAAATATAGATGCACTAACCACTAGAGTTTTAATAATTATTTAATATATCATATATCTGAGGAGTTTCCCAGGATATGGTCTCATTTGAATTAAGAATACTATAATTGAAGACTTCATAATATTTCTCACTTTAAAAGTATTGTTAAAATCTCGTAGCAAATCACACTTGTAATACTCTGAATTCATGGAGAGTTGAAAATCAGAGCAAACTAATGCAAATAAGGTGATTTCAAATTACTTCAGAATCCTAGCTAGCACCTGAGAAAGTTTCTGTTCCATCAAAATGGGGCAGTAAGCTCTCTAAAATGACAAAAGCCTTTTGATGACTGTATATGGTGGCAGGGGAATCTGCCCAGCAATGCGCCTTTCTTCCTTCCGTCATCTGTGGTACCAAGTGATTACAGCTTTTCAATAATAAAATGAAAACTTAGTCTGAGCACAGACTGGTTCTGAATTTAGCCCTCAGATGCTTCCAAAAAAATACAAAAGCTTTACTTCTACAGATGGCATTCGACATCACTTTTACTTTCAAATTTAGAAAGCCTGAGTTATATTTCTGTAGTTTTCTCATTACTTTTGTTTTTCAGTAGGAAATAGGTAAAGGTATTTGAAAGTCAGATTTCAAAAGAGCAGAAAACAATTCAACGTAAAGGCAAATCATGGGAAAGGGAAGACACGAGGACTGTAGTTCTGTCTCTAAAAACTTAGCTGCCAGGTGAATCCAACCACCAGTGTAAGTGTGGTGAATGGTCTTTGTGTGCAAGTGGCCAGTCTGCACTCCCACTGCCAACACCTGAGCTTTCTCCATTCAGTATGAAGAAACAGGCTGCAGAGACTGAATAAACAGAGGCTATTTCCCAAAAAGGGTTTGCAGTGAGATCTGTTTTTGTAATGACTCAGGGAAGAAAACAAGCAGCATCTTCAGCCTCCCCAGTTTGCTCCTCGGAGGGGCGTCTGCACTGACCTGCATCCGGTTCATGGCTTCCCTGATCTGATCCAGGTGATGGGCAGAGCTGAGGGCCTCCAGCCGAATGTCCGTTAATTTCAATTCCTTTTCTCTGAGCTCACTCTTCAGCTGCAGAATGATCTCTGCCTCAGCCTCGGTGCATTCACAGATCCTGGGAAAGGAGATGAACACAAAATTGGTGGTTAGGGGGGGCCAGGGGATTAGGAAAAACAAAGCTTCTCTTAAAGGCTGAACTGTAATATTATCCAGCAGGTACAGAAATTATTTGCTGCTGGCAAGACCTAGACAAAAGAGAAAGAGTTTTACACACAGTCACACATTCACAGGTTCAAAACTGGAAACGGTAACTACCTTTTCCTTTAATCTTTCCTTCATATTTTCTGAAGTATGAAAACAGTCTATTATTCTGGTATATAAAGTGATCCTCAAAATTCCCTTGTTGCTGATATTTATGGGGCCGAGGAATCATTGTGATATTACATTTCATTCTGCCATTTTCCAAGAGACTTAAATCTCTATTTGCAACACACGAAATATTCTTTTTTCTAAAAGCAAAGTTATTATGTCCTTAAAATGTTGATTTCTTGTTTTACAAAAATTGTGCAAAGAATAACCTTATTTACCACAATACTATCTTCAAGTTACCATGAAAATTCAATATAGATATTGTAGAAAATAAATCAGAGAGATTAGTTTTGAACATTTAAATAATGGATGAGTGTTATATAATCCTCCTGCTAGGCTCAGCTGATTCAGGGGATCACAGCTAATGAAGTTAAATCGAAGATTTCAATCCATAAAAGCAGGCTAGTCCAGGGCTGCTGAAAGGTCATATACATTACATGCTTATTGCTGTTCTGTCATTGTTTTGCGGACAGCTTTGTAGGAAATGTGTCAAAAGAATTTGTTTGACAACTAATATCACTGCCATTTAAAATGTGAGGACCAGGTTGCTGGTCACAAAAGGATAGCGCTCTGTTCTTCCTTCCTGCGTCAGTTATGAAATTTTATGGTGTGTACAAGTGTCTTAAATGGTCCTTCGCGGCCCTGCTCTATATGACAGCTGTAGGCTAGTCACTGTCATGGGCATACAAGGAAATATGATTTAAATAGCATATAAAACAAAGAGACTCATCAGAGCCCATGTTCCCACATTCTAAATGTTGCATTCTTCCTTGAAACATCAAGTAGTGGGCTAGGATAAAAATGCTACGCCAGATTATCTCATGCAGTTAAAGAGTGCGGACTGGGGTTTGGCTTTAGGAAACTAAATTTTGCTTCAAAAAACAGAAAGACGGGAGGTTCTGATTGTTCAAACGCATGCGAGTGATTTTAGAAAAAGCGAAAAGCAAACACCGCCTCGGTTAGAACCCGGGTTGTCGTCTGCGGTTTTCATGCATCACACTCCATTTTACCGGGATCTATGCTTGTAGATCACAGGGCCATTTTGCCGTTTCTTTGGTGGCCAGACAAGGGGCGACCTGCATTTAACGCACAGTTAGACAGATCCATGGACAAGTGCAAGGGAAAAGAAGTGAAAATGATAACTTAGAAAAGTGGAGATTGAGATCAAGAAACACTGAAATTCTAACAGATGAAAAAAAGAGCAACAAATGCTGCCTGAGGATCTAAGGAAGCTCTGAAATGACTGGTTTGGAGACAGTGCGACACACAGCCTGCTGACGTTCAGGCCACAAGCATGGGCTGGGCCTGAGGCTGCTTTTAGGAACTGCTTCGGACGGCATTCCCCAGGGGGAGTGACTTACGCCGAGGTGGACTGCGAGGGCTTCATGGATGCTGAGCCACAGTCACCAGCGTTGTGGGGCAACTTGGGGGACGCTGGCAGGGATGAGTCCGTGAGCTCTTCAATGTCCGAATGCGAGGAAGGAGGCTTGGTGGACTTTTTCTTCCCAAAGGCTTGTTTGAATGAGCTTCTCAGCTGAAAAAAAGACAGAAATTACCTTTCCTGTCTATTTGCTCTTGGGGAATTTTGCTTTGGGGCGTTAGTTTGCAGGTGCCATCCTAGCCACTGCCTGGGGTCAGTATGTATAAGCAGAGTATTAACAGTTGCAGCACAGTATTGCTAAAAAAAAAAAAAAAAAAAAAAAGATACCGTGTTTTGTGTTTTTGTTTTATTTTTGTATTAATCCAGCGCAGCGCAAACATGGGAGGCTTTTAAATAGTGCAGGGTCAAGGGCATGGCTGTCAGAGCACTCATTTAAAACTAAGCACCTTGAAGGGATTTCATTCCCAATGCTTCTCTCTTCAAGGCAATTTGTTTTAAATGGCCACTTTAGCGCTACAATCAAGTCCTGTCCTGCTGACAGTATGAACTTAAAGAGCAAAATTAAATCAAATTCACCTAACACTTCATTAACTGTGGTTTTTCTATTCAAATTTTCAGTCCCCATACTATTCAAAACCAGAATTGGTATCCCCTACAGCTCTATTCAGAAAATGGTTTTACTTTTTCTTTTTAAAATTTGAGATTAAAATGAAAAGACACAAAGAAAAGACATACAAGGTAATCTGCTTTTAAAAGGTATAAAAGCCTACTGCCAAAATAAATAGCATTCATGCCAAGGTAGGGTGTTTTTACAGATGCATGCCAAATTGTCCACGGTTTATATTCACCTCACTTCCTCTAGAGTTCACCTTGCAGAAACATGAAAGAGTGTGTAATTACAAATCAAGGGAATGAAGGCTGATCAGTATTTTAAAATATTACCTGCATAAACATTTTTTAAAACAAAAAAAGATATTTCTTTCATTATTTAGAGAAGGCACACCAGTAAAATCCTCTGACAGTTATGTTTTGGATTTCATCAAGAGCTGTACTTATTTAAAATCTACCTTTGTTTCACAGTATTAAATGAAACCCTTTATTCCATTGTTTTTAAACATTTTTGCAGTAATAGCATCTTCCCCTCAGTTTGTTAGCCACTGCTTAATATGATCATAAATACTATCTCTAGCAAACTAGTTCTGTTAACTTGCCTGTCTATACCCCTGCTATATTCTCTTGGTAAAAAAAAATAATAAAGCAGACATTAATGTAGTTGATTTCTTACAAGGTGAAACTTTATTCGCACCATAAGCCCTGTTGACGTGAAGGGTGGGGTGGTTTTCAAGGGCTCTTCTTTCCCTTTTACCAACTCCATTTCTTCCCTTCCTCCATCACCATTATCATCACTGTCACCTCCACACCATCACCATCGACATGCCACCACCACCATAATCATCATCAGTCATCATCTTTTTCTTCTTCATCTGCACAATAAACCCCTACTCTAAGTCATCTATTTGCAGACGTTATTTTTCTTTACAACAACCCTATAAAGTCAGTATTAATTATCCTGTTTTTACAGACGAGATCATTCAGGCCTCACAAAAGGTGAAATAACCAGCCCGAGATTCAAACAGTGGCAGAGCAGGAATTCGAACCCAAGGTTAGCCCCAACTCTAAAACGTGCTCTTCAGCACCATGCCACCCTAATTTTGGCGACGAGCGCGGCGTCTGAAGTGCCGGTCGCTGAATGAGCCTCTCGATGACCCGCGGCCCATCTCTAACGCCCCAGAGGAAAACGCCTGCCTCGCCGTGCAACACTGAGCCCCGGAACTCCGGGACTGATGACGGCTTACCCAGTTTTTCTTTTTCTTTTTCTTGGAGTCAGCATCGTTACCACTGCCGATGCTGGAATGGCTTGTGGCACTGTTGATACTAGAAACGCTTTCAGAGGAATGCTGTCTTCTGATGCGGAGATCTAGCGACAGATAGAGAGGATCACGTTTGCTCATAAAGACTTTAATTCAGAACAAATAAGAATCTGGGTTTTCTGAGAGGTGGTCTGCTAATAAAAGTCAACGTGGCTTTGTAAGAGCATTTCAATGCAGTTTGGTGTTATGAGTTTAATAGCGTGAGACCATATTTGCTTTAATTAATGGGCTTATCAGCATTAAGGTTCAGTGGGAATCTCATATAAGCCTCTAGCACTGTTAGTTTAATAAGTTCTGAGTTTTGTCCAAAAATGAAATGCTATGCTAGCGATTCTACTGAATACCTGGATCAAACTGTGCTTCCAAAATGATTTATTTCAAATAATTAGTTTTATGGAATAAATGGAAACTGGAAATAGCATGGGAATTAATTGTGTCTTTTTAATATTTGTGCTTTGAATAAAGTTACTGAAACCAAATATATTAACTTTCCATTTCATAGAATCATACCATGTTAGAGCCAAAATAAACCTTTGCAGTCATCTAATAAGCACTTCATCTCACAGGTGAGGAACTGAAGTGCAAGGAAGTCAAGTAACTTGACCAAAGTCAGAGAGAGTGAGGAGAAGAGCCTTAAGAGGGAGGGTGGGGGTAGAGCGCATTTGTGAATTAAACAGAAGACATTCCACCATGCCCTAAATTCCTGTTGATGACTTGGAACAATAATAACAGTAACAATAACAACAGGTGATTATAACGCTAGCTTTTACTCCGTGCTTACTCTGCCCCAGGAACATCTAGTTTTAATCTTAAAGTAAACCCCTGAAATGAGTTTAATCACTAAATGCAATTTTCCCATGGTCACTTAGCTGAAAACCAGTGAAGCCAACCAGAGACCTGGACTGAGTCTAATGTCTGTTGTGCTAACTGCCATGTATACGACCTCTGCATATTTCTAAAAAGCATGTGATATTCTCTAGTTACATATTTTGAAGAGGATAGCATTTTATACTTAATCACTTTTTGAAGATATTGACTTACTCCATACAATCAGCTTATCAGGTTTATTAATAGTTATTAAAATTAAAATTGAAGTTTTATCTACTTACAGTGAACTGATACTAAGTGTTAGTGGAGACACTAAGAGTTTATAAAATTATTTTTAAGGTCAAATCTGCTTTTAGGCTATTTCAATTACTATATTATAATTGGCATCAGTGAAAATTAGACAAACAAAAAATCTCAGTGGAACTTACAAGATAATGGAAATTACTATATGGATTTCAGAAAGTTTCCATAGAAATAATAGGATAAAATCAAAGCTTCCCAGTTGACTGATTTACCAGTAAATGACCCATGCCAATGAAACTGTAACTGGTTACTTTTAAAACGTATAATAAATGAGTATACATGTGGGTATATATGTATACATATCTCCATCCTTAAACTCATATACATACACACCAATAAGCACTTTAATTTTTCCATTAAGATAATAACATGCTGACAAATTTTATATGAGGGAAAAATTAGAGCTATTTTTCAGAATCCCTAGAGTTTTCTCTCTTAAAAGTATGTTTTAAAATAATAACATTTACTGTTTGCATGCCAAAAACATTATCAATGCTGAAAGCGAAATTCAGGTATGTATGTGTGCTACTTGGATTCAATAGTAAGAGCATAATATCTCTTAACTAATATGGAGGTTATATGAATAACCAAAAGAAATCTGTGTGTAGGTATTTACTTGTGTTGTAAATTTCTGCTGTGATTGGCTATAAGCTTTTCTGAACAAGATGTAGTTTTGCTAGTTTTTGCCTAATAAATGGCTTTCACAAATAGAGATGTATTAAGCATTTAAGTATTCCAGAGTTTTTATTACATCCAGATAATAAATTATATTTGACTTCGATTAATCCCCAATTTTAAAAAGACAGGTACATTCTTGTAATCATAGGTCAAAAGTAGTCCTTGGAGGTATTAATTATGTTCCAATAAAGATCAGCAAAGGCATAATTTCAGTAGTATCACAGAATGAAGGTAATGTGTTTTACTTTTCCCTAACTATTCCCTTCTTGTGCTTATAAGTTTTTGATTCAGTACATGGAACATCACAGAGCTAGGTAAAGAATGGTTGCCCAGATGGAGGAAAGAGAGAAGCTTCTCTGAATGAATAGACAAGCTTACTTTCAAAGTATATATTTCAGTTATGTGCTTGTTCCTCCTTTATTTTCCACTCCCCACCCTTTGCACGGCCACTGTCCAGGTCAAACTGCCACCATCATTTACTGGCTCCACAGCCAGAATAGCTGTCCAACTTACTCACCTTCAAGCCATTCTACAAAGAGTAGCTAGGAAATCTTTTCAAAGGAAAAACTTCATTATGGCTCCCTCACTTAAGACTTTTCAATAGATTCCCATTTTAATAGGAATAAGACCCATTTTGACTCCTAAATATGGCCTAAAAGTCCCTCAGTAATCTGGTCAGTACTTATTTCTCCAGCCTAGTTCTGCTTATTTTACCTTCACTCATTACCTTCCTTATATTAGTTTCCTAAGGGCACTAATCTATTTTCTCAAGACCTTTCTTGAATGCTCCTCTCTTGGTATTTACAATATGACTTGGTACTTATTCCTTGGATCTCCCCTTAAGTGTTGCTGTCTTAGAGAGGCCTTTGCTGACTATGCCTCCTCTAGTGGGTTCCCCAGTGTCCTCACTTTCTATGACACTTATTCTCGCCTATTTTAGAACTTACAACTACTTGGGTATGCACAGTCACCTATGCCAGTGATCACAACAATCATTTGCTTTCTGCTCCCGTACAGACTAAAAATTGATGGAGACAGAGACTATGTCTGTTTTGTTTACCATTTTATATTCAGGGCTTTGTACAGAGTGTATTATATGTGGTAGGCCATCAATAAGTTCTTGTTGCATAAATTTATTCTTATTAGTTATTCAACACAACTATGTTTGCCTAACATTCCTAAAAAGTGCTTACTGTTGACCACAATTTAATATATGTTATGTCAAATTGTACTTGGTATATCTTTTTTTAAATATATTTTTTTATTGATTTCAGAGCGAGGAAGGGAGAGGGAGAGAGAGAGAAACATCAATGATGGGAGTCACTGATCAGCTGCCTCCTGCACGCCCCAAGCTAGGGATAGAGCCCGCAACCCAGGCATGTGCCCTGACCAGGAATCCAACCGCTATCTCCTGGATCACAGGTCAATGCTCAAACTGAGCCATGCTGGCCATGCATACTTGGTATATCTTAAGGAAAAGCTATTCCATGTTTATGCACAGAGCTAGTAACTTAAAAAGCAACAGAGTGGATTTCAAAAAATATAAATAACATTTTCCATTACCTTTACCTTTCAGCCTTATGCCATAATTGTTACATATAATATACATAAATTACCTTTTGTTGGAGTGGATTGTGAGCCCTTGAGTACAGGGGCTCTCTCTTTTCTATCTTCATATTTCGAGATTAAACAGAGTGCCTAATACACAGCAGATGCTCAAATAATGTTTGGGAATAAATAAGTAAATTTATTCCATTATAGACTGCTACTATTTTCAAGTTTTGTTAATAAATGTGATGCACAAATATAGAGAAAGTATAAAGTTAACATAACTTGATAAATTGTTATGTGATTTTGCCATAGTTTGATCTGTCTACAAAAGTGCTGCCTCATTCCAGATACATATCTTAAGTTTACATGTTAAAATTTTACCTGACATGAAGATTTTAAAAGTCTCAAAAATGAAATTTCAGTATCATTTAAGAATACAAACTTATAGCCTATACAATCACCTTAATAACCCTAGGAGACATGCATAAGTCCAACTGACTGTGTAGCTTCTCAATATAGTAAGCAACAGTTTGTGAGTTTTAATATTGTAGAAACACAATCTAAATATTCTATATAATTCAACCTTTTATTACTATTTGTTTTTATTAGTTTCAAATCCTGTACAATTATTTTGTAATCTCTCTTGACAGTCAATTTGAAAATTAACTGTTATCATTTTGTTTACTTTAGGCACCCTCCCCATATTTTTGAGCCAAGAAATTCCAACTTTTTAATTCCAGTAGATACAGTAAGCTACCTGTTGCCTAAGATAAAAAGAAATCCTTCCAGAAAGTTTCACTTCAGTTACTTGCACTGTGTTAAAGAAACGATTAAGCCTCTTTAAATCCCTTCTGGACCTATTTACGACATGAAGATTTAGAACATAAGCTGCTTTATTATAGCTCCAAGATAAGCTTTAAATATGCAGTAATTTTCCATGCAGCACATAAATCAACTCCCCCACATGGAAAGTTGCTAAATTCTTAACAGAAGTAGCCCCTAGAGAACTAGTTTGTCTTTCAATTTAAGTATATCTCACTTTATATAACTGTTTTCCTAAAATTTAAATTAAAAAAAAATTAATTATATTATTCTTTTCTATAAAATTTGAATAAACCCCCTTTATAGGCAAGTTATCAACATAGCCACTAGGATTACAAAAAACAAACCATCCTATCATAGATCAGGAAAGGCAGAACATTACATCAATGAAGGTACCAAAGTATAATGGAAATTTTGATAGGGAAGTACAGCTATTTCCAGAAACAAATCACAAGAGAACCTCATCCAATTTAAGGGTCAAGGAAGCATATTTAGGCTAATTCTTGCACGGTCTCAAAAAGTTTTTATGCTTCACAAACAGGGTAGAATATTCCGAGTTGAATAAATAGAATATATACAGAACTTCTGAAGAATTGGAAGACATTCAGGGTTGCTGAAATATAAAATATGCAATATGACAAAAAATCAGAGTCTAGAACAGTGTCCAGCACACAACTGGTAACCAATAGATATTTGTTGAATAAATGAAGCTTACGAAGAGAGATTACATCAGGTTAAGGAGTTTGTATTTCATCCTAAAGGCAGTACGGGATACCTGCAGATGTATGTTGTTGGGCAGCTGCTCCAGTTTCAGTGTGAGGGGACAGCGGTGTAAGATGAAGCGCAGGAAGGCTTTTGGAGATTCTGGTCCTGGCGTAAGGAAGAGATGAGGGATGTTGATAGCAGGATCAGAGGGAAGGGAACAGATCTGAGAGATATTTAAGGGGTGGGATCAACAGAACTTGGCAGTTATTGGGTGAAGAGAGGAAGATTTATAAGTAACAGAGTTCTGGCTACAAGAAGGGTGCCATCGACTAAGGCGAGGCACACTGAAGGCTAAGCAGGTGCAAGAGGGAAGGTGACAGTTTCAAATGTGGAGATGCTGAGTTACAGTGACGCACAGACATCCAAAGATAACCAAATGGAGTTCTCCCTTTGGGAGCTGTATATACAGATCTGTAACTCAAGAGATGAGCCTAGACTGAAGAAATAAATTTGACAATTGAAAACACATAAATGGCAATTAAAGCTAGAGCACTAGATGAGTTTGTATAAAATTTTAGATAGGATGCAGAGAATCATAATGTGAAAAATCACAATGGAAGAGAGCTTAGGACCGGGATACAAATGAGTGAACCTATAAGAGAGAGTTTGAAAGAGATGTCAAAGAAGCAGAAGAAAAACTAAGAACGTGGAAGTCATGAACATTAGGGAAGAAAATGAACATTTCAAGCAGGAAGGAATGGGCATTGGTATCAAATGCTGTTAGCATGTCAAATGCAATGAGAATTTTAAATGTTTTGCTGGATTTAATGTCATATCTGCCATTATTGATCCTGAAGGGAGCAGTTTTGGTGGAGTGGTAGGAAGAGAGGCAACGTTCCAGTGGTCTGAAGTGTGACTGCCTGCTGAAGACACTGAAAGTTTCCATAAAAATTTCCCAGAATACATCTGAAAATGGGAAGAAAGATGACAGAATTTAGGAAAGCATTTTTAATCTAGTAAAGAGGTGAGCATATTGAATACTATGGAAAAGAGTTAGAACATGAATCAGTGGAACTTACATAAAGAAGAAAACCAAGATATTAATATAGAAGCATTTTTCCTTCAGTGGAAAACTAAGGGGTGAGGATGGTGGCAGAGAAAATTATTTTATTGTTGCTTAGAATTGTTGAAGCATAATAATAATGAAAAGCGACCAACTTTTAGTTCATTGTCTTACTGTTTTAAAATTCTCAGCAAGAAGTGTACCTTTTCACCGCCCTCACCCCTAAGATGAGTTGCTCCCCATACCCACTACTTTGTATTTTGATTTTTTTTTTAACCCTTACCCACGGATATTTTTTCTATTGCTTTTCAGAGAGAGTGGAGGGAGAGAGAGAAAAAAAATATCAATGTGAGAGAGACACATCGATTGGCTGCCCCCCGCACAAACCATGACCAGGGCCTGGGATCGAGCCTGCAATCGAAGTATGTGCAGTTGGCTGGAATTGAACATGGGGTCCTTCAGTCCATGGGCCAATGCTCTAACCACTGAGCAAAACTGGCTAGGGCTGTATTTTGATTTTTGATTTTATTTTTTTATATAAATCTAGATTTTCATACACCTTACTTGCTTTGTTTTGCTTGATGTCAGATGTGAACGTATTAACCAACTGCCCATCCCCACCTTCACCAAATCAAACTAAGAGAAATGTGTATATATAACTATAGAAGCTAATTCCCTAAGGTAAATTTAAAAATTATTTGATAACGAAAGCAACTGTTCTTGAATTCTGAGATTCTGACTACATTAATACTAAATCATTCATTATCAAAAGCAGTGTCACTGAGCAAAAGCAGCTCTTCTCCAATCAGTAGACAAAATAGGTGACTAATATACTGAATGCAAAATGGCAGTATTTCTAAATTACCTTTGGGAGGGTGATCGGGACCATTCAGTGCTCCCTGAATGGCGGCCTGGGCAGCAGAATTCTGGGCCTTCAGCATTTCGATGGTTTCTCTTAGTTCTATGAGTTCAGATTCCTGTAAAACAAACAATGTAGAAGCTTTAATACTTAGAGGGAAAAAAAAAACATCCCTGTTGTTCGAAGTTCACTATAAAATGGGTTTTATTATATATATATTGATTGATTTCAGAGAAAGGGAGAGAGAGATAGAAACATCAATAAGAGAGAGTCATTGATCGGCTGCCTCCTGCACGCCCCTTTCTGGGGATGGAGCCCGCAATCCAGGCCTGTGCCCTGACAGGAATCGAACCACGATCTCCTGGATCCTAGGTTGATGCTCAACCGCTGAGCCACACTGGTCGGGCGAAGGGGTTTGATTTTATGTACTGTGAATGTCCTGGGAGATTTGGATATTTGGCTGACCTTGTTGAATTGTATCTGACAGTTTCTTACTTAGTTAAATGTAAAGGAGAATTAAAAAATTTTTTTTCTTGGTTATTTCTTATAAATATGATCTGAAAAGTCCTTATTCTTCTCAAAGGGTGGCACCCAGAGCTGACCAGTACAACATAAAGCATGATATCACATTGCTTATTTTATACCCAACTTATTAATACAACCTGTGGTCAAACCTCATAGTTACATATCAGTATGCACGGGTGCTCCACATTGCATTTACTGTCAACTGGAAACCCCGAGTTTTTGTCAAATAAGTGATTTCACATTTTGCCTCATGTATTTTGCACTTGGGGGGCAGATTATTTATATTCAAGTATAAAACCTGGAACTCATCCATAACTCACTCCTATTAAATGTAATCTCTTATTAAATTCTGCTGGCATATCAAGGTCATTTTAGATTCTGATACTTTTCATACTATAAAATTTTTAGTATGAAGGCCCAATTTCACCAAGCCAAAGCAACACAGGAATTTTAAAAAAAGTGAATAGAAATATNTTTTAGTATGAAGGCCCAATTTCACCAAGCCAAAGCAACACAGGAATTTTTAAAAAAGTGAATAGAAATATAATATATAGTCCTTAAAGAAGAGTTAAATTACAAAAAAGTTTAAGAATCACATTTTTATAAAACATTCTTTTTTTTTAATTGAATTTAGGTAATTTTAAGATATGCCTCAAGGAAAATCATTGTATAAATTTAAACTTTCACACTTGTTTAAGTAAATTATTTTGCCAGATATGACTCACCATGAGAAAGATAACACAGAAAAGAAAAAAAAACACACCGAGAGTGCTTTTTCAGCATAGGCAATATTTCCATCAGGAGCTCAAAAACAAGAAGTATCCTTCTTGGCAGTGATGGCGATCCTTAAAAATTAGAATCCCTGTCAGCCTCTTAGAGGGAGAATGCCTTGGTAATATATTTGTCATTCATCATTTTCTCTAACATCTCTGGCAGAACGCCAAAGAATCAGGCTTGGGTTCTCCATTCCACGGTAAATAGTTTATTCCTACTCGAGGTCTCCCAGAATTTACAAAAAAGTAGGATTATGACAACTGCCTTTGTAGGGAACTGCTGCATGTGTGGAAATGTCCAGTGACTATTCTAACCTTACACACTTAAAAAAAAAGATAGATGATGCTAATTGAAATGATATCCAGGTTTGGAATAGATACCTGGTGCATCCTATATCTATTTTCATTAGATACCTGACATATTTCTAACAGATGACAGATTTTAAAAAAAAGAAAACCCTTTTTTAAACCTCTAATAGCTTAAAAGTCAAAGAATGTCATAATGAAAAATCAATACAACCTCCTGGATTCACAGATAGATCTTCAAACACTTGACTGCAGTTTCATTTGCATTTATTTATGAAAAAGAAAAATGATCATGTTTGTGGAAAGTTTCCAATGTCATACACAAAATTCAGATCCAATTCATCATAATTTCTCAGTCTCTCCAAGTTCTGTCTATATTCTGTCCCTGTCCAACAAGTAACAGAATGTTTACCAAAGTTTAATTTACTTTCTATTTAAAATAAACTTTCCAAGAGATAAAATGTTTACTGAAAATTCATTCTGCTTTTACCAGAAATTTATTCACAAAAAGATATCTATGGTGCATACTTAATGAATCACATAATTCAAATCGTAATTTTACAACCTATAGACTGGGAAGCATGTAAATATTAAGAGAAATCAGATTTTCATCCTTGAATTTAAAATCAATAGTGCTTACACTGAAAATGAAGAATCTGCTAAAATAATGGCTTTAGGTTTAAAGAGGGAAAATGGAAATGGGATCCTATGTAAATGTCTAAAAATTGCTTAATTTTATGAGTTAGCTGACTTATTTCAGTGTCAAAACTTTAATATTTTCTACAAAAATCTCTTCTAGAAATATTTTGAGAAGATTAGAAGTGGAATATTCAGGGAATGTTGCTTTTTTATTTCATTTATTTATTTATTTATTCTCACTCGAGGATTTTTTTTTTTTTTCATTGATTTTTAGAGAGAGTGGAAGAGAGGGAGAGAGAAACATCGAAGTGAGAGAGACACATCGATTGGTTGCCTCCCACATGAGCCCCAGCCAGGGCTGGGGATCAACGAGCCTGCAACGGAGGCACATGCCCTTTGGTCCGCAGGCCGACGCTCTAACGATTGAGCCAAACCGGCCAGGGCAAATGTTGCCTTTTTAGAAAATTATGTTTAATATGACATAGAAGAATGATCACTTTCTAATATTAAGTATATTTTTAAAAACAACAGATATTAGCAGGCTGCAGTGTGACACAAAAACCCAAAGGAAGAATAACTAGGCATGAAATATATCCATTCTACAACTTGGGAAAATCACATCTATCAGTTTAGCCAAATTCATATTAGTAATTTTTTAGGACAGCTTTATAAGTCTAAGCAAGCACCTATAAAACATTCCACCCTCTTTAATTAAAAACATAGTTAAGTTCTACATTGAAAATCCTTGCAAGCTTGAACAAGTTCTCTCTCCATATATGCAAAACTTCCTTCTTATTATTTCAGATGAGACCTACTTTCACCATCACTCCAATTAGAACCATCTTTCTCTGAGTCTTTCCGTACGATCTTCCCCCTTTGCTTTAAATATCCTTCCTCACTGTTAAAGGCCAAGTGATATTTTAAAACTGGAGAACAAAAAATAAAATTTCATTTATCTACAATGAGCCATTCAAGACGATGATGCCCCAAACACCTGCTGACTAGGTAGGATTCCACTTTTCCTTTAGAGTTTCTTGTGTAAAAGAATCTGGATGGGGTCAGCACCTCTTCTGTTTTATACGTGTTTCTGAGGCTAAACAAATTATGAAGGCCAGACTTGAAATGCTTAGAAATAAAATGATCAGACATCATGTTATAAAACTAGCTTTGCTCAGTGTTCTTTCCCACTTGATTTCCTAATTATATCTGACCTTTCTGCACATCTCTCCTCGACACAGGCCTTGTTGAGTATCCCACAAGCTTGGTAACAAATCTCATCAACCCACTTGACCTTCTAGGCCAGGCTCTTATAAATTTCTACCAAACCTGTCTTTTGCTTCCTCACATTGGCACTCAGTTAATATCACACTATTGAGCTGTAGTTCCTTTGAACATATCACACTCCCCCACCCCTTTGTACATGGCTTGGAATCATGCAGTTTTCTACTGAAAGAACCTGGCTAGCCCTGGTTCTAACAAAACAAACAAAATTCTCCAAATCCCAGTAGAGTAAGTAACCTGAATCCACAACTAACTAATGAATGTATTTTATGACTCTGTTAATAAATTTTTTAAAATACTTCTTGATAAAAAAATATTTTAACCTGAGCCTGTATGTCAAGACCCATTTGGACTACAAAATTTTAGCTTTGACATCTATTTCCAGAGGCTTGGCTTTGAATTTTCTCATTTTTAGGTTTTAAGTTTCTATTTATCTAGTTGCTCAAAAAAATAGTTTCACAGAGGTAGGAAAGAACAATCCCTAGACTTTATATAAGGATCAATATCTGAGCTCCATCACTCTGACCTTCTAACAAGACTAACCTAGCCCACCTTAATGTATGTTCTAATTACCTGTGGCAATGCAGCTCTAGGGAACTGATTTGAAAGTCTTCTAATTATCAGTGGGGAGGGTCTTAGTGATTTTGCAAAGATTTAGCAGTAGTTCTGTAAAAACATAGATTTGTAAATCATAAAAATAAAGATTTGCAGAATTCTTGCTATTTTGTTGACTCATATTACAGCCTTACTCATCTGGCATTCTACAAGAAAATAAAACTCTAACCAATGATTTTTCAACTCTGATAAAAAATGGTACATAGCTAGTACCCCTCTAGATACAGAGAAAATAAATTATTTCATTACATATAATAGATGCCTCAGGGCATTCGGTCTTAATTCTTTGAAAGAATCTTGATGGAGAAGCGCCAGTAAAGGAAAAACCTGAAATCCAGGTAAAATTCTTGATCAAACTGTGTCACTATCACAATATGTTGAGCCTTACTTTAAGTCCGAGGCAATTTCTAGAGAGAATTTCACCCTCCAGCTAGTATTACTGACATACATCCTACTTCTGGACTTACAATGATATGACAAGGGGTCTTCTAGTGGCTATTGGGAATGCGGCTAAGCTGTTGGAAAATGCTGCTAGGTGGATTTTCATTAACTTTTATCATGTTAGTCTACTGTCAAAAACCTTTGAATGGCTCCTTGTTTTCCAAAGACCAGATTCTTTAAACATTTTTCTAGCCTCAGTGCCACATTTTCCTCCACATTCCTGCTTTTTCCCTTAATGTCTCCAATAACTTCCCTGCTGGCTGCTCATGCTCATGGTGCTCCTTCCTCGACGACATCCAGGCCTCCATGTCCCCTGAGTTAACTTTCTTCACCCTCCCAGAGCCTGAGGAGGCTCCTCTGCCACCTCTGCTCTGAAACCAGTGTGAACATGCCCTGGTCCCCTGTGAGAGCTCTCAGGCCACAGAGCTGTTAGGCTCTAATTGTCCCCCAAATGTTCTGCCTCCTGAGTTATTCATACATGTGCTTTTCTTTCCTACCAGGCTGTAAGCTTATAAAAGCAGTGTTCTGCCACATAAATTTGGCAAGAAAATCAGTTTGATTTGGCTTCTGGAAACAAGGAACGATCTTAGGACGCTATTCAAGAAAGTGATTTGGGTGCATAAAGGGAACTAAAATTTTGATTTAGTTTTCAGACTATTAATGCCATCAGATTGTGATAATCAAATTTTGAAGCCAAACCAGCCAGAAGACCTGGCCTTGAGTCCTAGATTAGTTTCTCTATTAAGTACACAACCAAGAGCATTAGCCACCTTGGCCTTTTGTTTTGTTTTTGTTTGCTTTTATTGGATTTAGAGAAAGAGAAGAAGGGAGAGAGAGGGGGAGAGAGAGACATCGATTTGTTGTTCCACTTACACATTCATTGGTTGATTCGTATATGTGCTCAGGCCAGGGATCAAATCCCCAGCCTTGGGGTATGGGGATGACGCTCTAACCAACTGAGCTACCCGGCCAGGGCCAGCCTTTGGTTCTGTATGTGTTAGCACCCTACCCTGCTTCCCCATTTGCTCATTCCCAGCTTAAAAGTTTTCAGGGGTGCTTATCTTCACTTGCTTTAATTATAGTTTTATTTAGTCTGTCCCTTACTAGAATACAAACTCTATTTTACATTATAACCAGTTACAAAATAGGATGTAAACAATGTGCGCATGGAGATATATATATACATATATATATACACACACACACACACACACACACTCATATATACATATATATATACACACACATGCATATATATATATATGAATCTTAGTAGCTAGAACAGCACCTCCCATAGAGTAGAAATTCAGTATAACTTGAGTAAATGACTAGATGGACACTGCACAAACCATGGAACTCCGGGAACAGAGGTTCAAAACCTCTGCTCTGAATTCTCTAATCTTCTCCTCAGGATTGTTGGTTCACCAGAGAGCAATATACCCTTTTATCTCAGCTCCCTGGAGAAATGGCTTTACTGAAATGTGATTAAATGTTATGCCCTCAGCCTTTAGAGAAATGCCTATTTGAACAGTGATTTTGTCTTTTGTTATTCCATGACCTCAATTTGAGAAACTTTACAATACATTTGTTCTTGAATTCAGTGCCGAAATGCTTGTCTCTTCTATCTAAATTATGTTCTGCTCGGAGAATGAGAGCCAAGGATGCCAAGCGGCCTCGCTCTTTGCCTAGCGTCCCTCGCATGCAAGTCGGTTGGAGCTTCGCGGCAGTCATTATACAGGCTCTGCTATCTTGTTAGATACATTCCTCTACTGGACTTCACTCGATTCTGTCACCGAGTTGTGCTACACATATTGCAATGAACTTTATAAGAATCTCCAAAAAGAAGAAAAAAATCAAAACCACTTGGAAATAGGCAAGTTATAAATCTCAGATTAATAAGCTAGTTACTAGCATGTTGTGTGTGTACAGCTTGCAATTAGAAGAGCAATAAGTTAAACAAAAAAGGGGGTGATTTCAGACGTCATGATATCCTCTGAGAAAATTTAATAGATTTACCAGTGTCACTCCAAGAATAATGACAATACTGAGCACATAAATTATAACATTCCTTGTGTTATGGAGATGTATCTTAAAGTATTCAGGCATAATTCAGAGGCATTATAAATTAACAAACCAGCATATTTTTTTCAAATTTCTATGAGATTTTTTATTTACAAATAAAAAAAGAGTTGAAGGAAAATGGGGCATATTAATTTTTTTAATTAATGAATTTTATTTTATTTTAGAGAGAAGTAGGAAGAGGGAGGGAGAGAAAAAGGAACATTAATGTGAGAGAGAAACATCGATCAGTTGCCTCCTGTAAGCACCCCGACACAGATCAAACCTGCAACCTGGGTATGTGCCCTGACCAGAAATTGAACCCACAACCTTTTGGTGCATGGGACGACACTCCAACCAACTGAGCCACACCAGCCAGGACAAAAATATATTAATTTTAACTTCTTAAAGATTTCCAGCAATATGCTGGGCATATGGCCAATGATGAATTTGTTTTTCTTACACTTGTAAAGGGAAAAAAGTAGAGATATGTAAAGAAAGGTAACCGCTATTGACTACCCACTGCATGTGACATTATTATAGTATCTCCTTTATTCTTCATAATGACTCTACAAAGTAGTTGTTTAAGCCCCAATTTAAAATAATGAATGTGAGGGTCAGAAAAGGAAGATTCCACAGCTTAATCTTAAGAGATCCCCCTGAGATTCACGCTCCAGCCTCCTGAGCTCTAAGGTTTCCATTCTTTCCCATTCAGCTGTCCTAAAAGGCCTTGTAATTATGTTTGCTGACTTCTTAAGTTACATAGTGAAGTGGTAGAAGGTAACCCCCATCCAAAAAAGATGAAGATAAAATTTAAGTGCTCAAAAGGAGCACGTTATCTTCCCTTGCAGAACAGGTTTGACGGGAATGGGCAGTGTCCTCTTTCAGGGGCAGGAGAAACGCATGAAATAGGAGAATGGGAGATAAGGGTGAACAGAACACAGTTTGCTAACTATGCCAGGCAATTATAGGACTATCTGATTTTCTCTTTTGGTTTAATTGGGCTCTTTATTCTGGTTTGTGTTTCTGTTTTTAACTTAAAAAATGGTAAACTGACCAAACTTGATAATACATGCTAGTTTTTTAAATCTAAAGGCACACTTTATAGAACTAAAGACAAAATTGAAGCCACCCCTATAGATAGTGGTTCTGAAAATATCCCAAACCTCTTAGATTATGAATCTCTTTGAGAATTAGATGAAAACTGTAGACATCTGCTCACATTATACACATATGCAGTTTTTAAAACTATTTCCATACAATTTGAGAGACTTCATGTGTCTCTGACACCCATCCAAAGACTCAGGTTAGGGCTACCAAGCGAATGGCAGAGGTAAGTTACTGGTCATCAAATGGAAAGTGCCCAGGTTGTTTCTAGGAAGTGTAGAATTATTGATATTTCTGCCTTTGGGAACTAACTTCTCTGTTTCTTTCTTTTTTTTTTTTTTAATTCTCACCTGAGGCTATTTTTTCCACTGCTTTTCAGAGAGAGTGGAAGGGAGAGAGAGAAACATCCATGTGAGAGAGACACATCAATTGGTTGCCTCCCTCACGCACCCTGACTGGGGCTGGGGATGGAACCCTCAACCGAGGTACGTGCCCTTGGTTGGAATCGAACCCAGGACCCTTCAGTCCGCGGGCCAACGCTCCAACCATTGAGCAAAACCGGCTAGGGCTGTTTCTTTTTAGTTTTCCTTTTTCTACTTCATAAAATCCTTCACGTTTATTTTAAAGTTTTTGGTATAACTTAATTCTACTTAAAAGACAGCATCCCCAGATGCCAACTCATCCTTTTTACTGCAGAATTATACAGGATTGTCTCTTGTCCCATAGGAGCTGTAATGTAAATCCCCTAGTTTGTAGAATCCTAACATCTGTTCCAGGCCCTCTTCGTGGGTAGCTCAGCCACAGGCTTTCTGCATGGCATTTGTGAACATTATTGTCAGAGCGCCATTGTGTCAACTGCATAACAAATTGTCCCTAAAATATTCTCTCTTCCTCTACAATTATTTCTCTTTCTTAGTAGCGGGTATTCTTTTAATAGTTACAGTCAGAGGTAAAATAATAGATTACCTAGAAAGAACTGTATGTGTGTGCATATGCGTGTGTGTGTTCCGATATGGATTCGCCTGAATCATACATCCTTAGACTAAAATCTGAAAAGAAAAGCCATTACCTTGTCATTGTTCCACTTTAGCATAGGATGGATGCTCTGCAGTATTATTTTTAAGGAGCGGCATCTCGGGTAATGTTTAAACATCCTATGCAACTTGCTGCCTTATTTCAAGCCCCAGTGGCAATTCCTGGACATACCTTTTGTTCCGCCGTCATGGTTAGACTTTGCAGTCGGCCAGTCATATTCCCTAAACTCTTTTCAAAAGCTGCTACGAGGTGAGCCTGCGAACAAAATGGAAGGAACAGATGTCTAATGTCAGAACCTTATATGGATGGATGAAAATGCCTCACTTTACAAAATGCTTAATTTCAGGCATTCCGACTCTTTAAACACCACGACCATCACCGTCAGCTTTCCATGGGGTCTCTCCATGAACACAAATCTTCATTTATCATTTTTAGGCTTCAGCTTAAAATCGGTGTTTCAGTCTCTTGACATGACATTTCATGTGAGTTCACCTTCCGAAAGGGGATGGCATTTTGCAAATAATGACACCTTCTAGCTTGCCCATCGTGGAGGATTTGACATGTAAAATGCTGAAAAGAGTTCTGAGTTGCCACATTTTTAGACGTAAATCCCAAGTGGAGGTCAGAGCGATAGTCAATGGGCAAATGTTCATCTTTATACCTGCACTGTGACCTCTGAAGATACTGTTAACTCCTTGACTCTCATGACACTCTCCTTCAAGTGTCAGACATCTGCTGAAAGCTATACCATTATCTTTCCTTTGTCTACTTACAAAGAACTGAATCGAAAAGAGTTGTCTTCACTTTCCAAATTCTTTTCAATAAAAGGGCTTTTATTTCTACTTTATTCCCTTCAACTAAGGAAGTATAGGTAGGCCAGTGAGAAATAATAATTGGTCCTATTTTATTTCACATTAATTTTCTGGCTCTGTGGTTTTATTTTAAATCTCAGAGAATTATACCTATCGCAGCAGATCGCTGTGAGTCTTATGATGAAGTATTGGGCAATCTAATTATAGCTCTAAAATAGGCCAGTTTTTATTAACATGCCATTTTGCAATAGCTTGACCCACAAAATATTAAGCGTGAAGACGTGCTGCATTCTTACACGGTGGCTGGAGGCAGAAATCCAGGTATGTGATCTCAAACTGATCAACCTTAAAAGGATGTAACCTACATCTATAATAAACTATGTGTGGGTAACAGTTTGGCAATCCTTGGCCAAAGATTAATTTTTTGAGGGGAAAACGAGAGAGGACTCAAAACGCATCACCTTGTAACTGTAGCAGAGCTGAAAGGCTGAGGTGCCTACTATCGAGTGGATCGCTGGGGGTCCAAGAGTTAGGGCACTACAAGTTTATGGCAGCTCTAGTGGCAGCTAGGAGTTTATTCCATTATTGGCAACAGCAAGAATGTACAAGTCCCTTCCATTAGCATCATGATACAAAGGTGTCTTTGTTTCAAGCTCTAAGTTTTTGCTGGGCGGCCTTTCTTTTCCTGACACTAGTGCAGAGAGCAAGGTAACTTGTAGAGAAGGCCCCGTCTTTTGATCGTAAGTCTATCAGTACGACTCTATCTAGTCTTTTTCGACTCCCTCCTCCTGCTTTCCCCCTTCCCTTCCTCTCATACACGCACACATCTTGAGAATTACACTCAAAGGTTTGTTAGCAGATTTAATGGGATAAATAACAGTTTAAAAAATTTATTTCAGAGAGAAGAGGGGGAGCGGGAGCGAGAGAAAGAGAGAGAGAGAGAGACATCCATGTGAAAGAGAAACATCCATCCGTTGCCTCTCACATGAGCCCCAACAGGGGACTGAACCTTCAACCTTTTGGTGCACAGGATGACGCTCCAACCAACTGAGCGGTACTGGTCAGGGAAGGATAAATAACACTGTTTTTGTTTTTTTTAAAGGAATATTATCTTACAGTTTAAAATGATTTCATTGACAAAGAATGTTACTACATCAGACTTAGTACCCTCAGAAATTAACTAAGGTCATGTCCCACTTTCTCCTATACTTAACCTGTGCGTTTTTTTTATTGTAAAAATACATATAAAAGTGAACAAAATGAAAATATGTAGCTCACTGGTTTATCACATAGTAAACATTCATGCACGCACCAGCCCAGTCAAGAAATAGGGCACTGGAAGACCCTAGGGGCCCTCCCTTGCCCCTCCCCCACTACATCTCCTCTCCTTTCCCCAAAGATGAGCACTATTGTAACAGTTGTAGTAGTTATTTCTTGCTTCTTTATAGTTTTGCTACATAAGCTTACAGCCCTAAAAATTATGTTTTAGCTTTGCCTATTATGAAAACATTCAAGCGCAATCAAATGGCAGGATTTCTGTGTATGACTGCTATCTTTTCCTTAACATCCTGCTTTTCACATTCATCCCTGTGCTGTATAGCAGGAGTTAGATTTTGCTGTAAAGTGTTGCTTTGTGTAATTTATAATATATTTGGCCATGATAACCATTTGTGCTGATTTCAGTTTAGACTATTAGAAATAATCCCACTATGACCTGACAATGGGTTACTATACCCTAAAGCTAGAATTGCTTGTTTTATTTTAAAATACTGAAAATTCTGGCAGAATATCTTTGTTAACATTTACTAAAAGAAATGCAAGATTCTGCTTAATATTGCAAAGTTTTAATTCTCCCAAAGAATTGTACGTTTTAATTGTTGGACTGTAAGTCCGTGCATATACAAACTTGAAGAAAATTCCTATACTTTTCTGTGCATATTTTATCAGTTCAATGGGTGTTAAAAACATGACACAGCAAGCAAGGCTGTGAAGAATATACTGTACAAATACATTGCTTATGTTTTGTAGTTGTGAGTAAGTACAAAATATTCCCCACGAGAATGTCAGTTTTCAGTCTTTGGAAAATTGCTCTGCATTTTCACAAGAAAACTGGTTACAAAGGAACATTTTAATTCGAGTCACATTGTTCTCAATGAAAAATATGTTAAAAATATGTTGGTGAAATATTGCTTTAAATTTATGTTGCTTTGGCTTAGTTTATCAGATTAACTTTGTTACTTTGAAGGTAATGAAAGGTTAAATTTCTCACCAATCGGGTTCATGGAAAGGGAGTACCAGAAGCAAATAAGGGAAACTATTTCTACCAGGGATCATTTTTTTCACCATAATGGAGAGAAAATGGAAAATAAAACTGATCAAACTATAGGATAATACATCTTGTCTGAAAAACTTCATAAAATGATGACTTTTTAAAAAACTGTGGATTTTTGGGAGGGCTGTTAATCATAGTTTACTTGGTTCTGGCTTTTAACAGTTGCATAATTTTCAAGCCAGAGTAAAACTGTATCAATATGATGATGAATATGTTTCAACTTGTGTTTGGTGGAGTCTGTCAAGGTAGTAAATTAGACAAGGCTGAATATTAGTTAAGGGAAAATATTAACACATACTATTTTTAGTTTTGAAACCACACAATATAATCTGAATAGGCATGCAAAGAGAATTATTGTGCTACTAAATAATGAGATGAAATATCATTATGAAGAATCCCTATATTGCATTTGTTCATTTAGAATTCAGTGACAGCCTGTCAACCACATAAAAATACTCTGTACATATATTAATATGAGGATGAAAGGAATGATGGATATGACTTTACATTTGAAAATCCATAGTTAGATGAACTAAAAATGATTCTGAAACTATCATAAACACGGTATCACATTTCTTTTACTGTACATAATTGGCTCTTCACCGTCTGTCGTAGTTAATATGTGCAAAATGGTTTTCTCTTAAAGGAGATGCAGAAAAGCAAGAGTAATGGCCGGATTATACAAAATTATGAAATAGAGCAAAGAAATGAGACACAATCCTAAAACAAAATAATACCTGAGAGATTATTGTTTAAAAGGCTTACATGCTGAAAAGGCAAAAGAAAGTGCCTTCAGAGATGCCTTTGAAAAATGGTAGTAATAACCAGCCTTAGTGCTTATTTCCAAATTATCTAAGGGCTGAGATGTGCAAGAACATGTATTAAAGCACAAACAAACGCCTCCCACCTGACTTGGCTGCACGGCGGTGTGGGTGAGAGGCGGGAGGGCCGCGGGCTGGCCGTCAGGGGTGACCACACATCCACAGCTGCCTCGGCTGCTGGGGCTCCTGCTCGCTCTCTGTTCCCTGGTGGGGTACTGATTCAGGGAAGGCCAGGCAATAGCACTTGCCAGCATGCCCTCTCTGCCTTCTAAGGACATCCTAGTGGAAGAGCTTCACAAAGACTCTTCCCAGGGCTTTCTGCAGCTCTGTTCAGGGAACGTCTGCAGTGGGCGGGGGGCTCAGTGCCCGTTCTGCTGAATGGAGGCGAGACTCTGCCAGTCAACCGAGAGGTGAGCTCGCTGGATACCTTTCTGCCTGACCACCGCCCCTTTAACAAAGGGCTCAGAAAGCATCTGAGTGAGAAGCATGGAAGTTTCAAGTTTAAACAGTAAAACATGGATTACTATGTGGATCCATATAAATGTAATCGTGCCAGGTTCAAGCACGTGATACATCAAATATGAAACACACCCCAAATTCAGGAAACAATGTTTACTTGTAGTCTGAATAAATGAATAAATAAAAGGCTTATCTCTAAGTCCAAATGGAAACTACACAAGATTTAATTTTTTTTAACTTATGTTGAAGAAATTCTATTCAGAAATAATTTTATTCAGTTTTATGATTAATTTAACTTCTGTGCACATATGTTAAAAATATATGTATCTATTACTTACATCAATGGATATTAACTCAGGGGCAGTGAAGTAAAACACACTGAATGAAATTTCAATGCAGTAGTTCTTAGAACCGAGGAAAATTTGAGCATTAACTAAATCCTTTCATGGCTATTATGGTCTAGGGCATCTAAAGTGACATTTTAATAAACCAAATGCTAAAGTTCAACCTGATTTGTAGTAGAGAGGTAACTTGTGAATAATTCAGATTTCTGAATGTATAAAGGAGATTATATCCTTAAAAATACAAATGGACATAAATATGCAAGACTCCATTCTTTGTAATTATAATGATACTATTACAATGTTCAACATAGGATTGACATTCAAATTATTTTATAAACATTTATAGATGCACTCATTCACACAAGTTCTCAGCTACTGAGATATTTACATAAACAGTGAATTTTAATAAACTTCTTTGTAGAAGAATAGACAATAATGTGTATCTTCACTACCTGAATTTTTTTCTCTTTCATCTTTTGTCATTTTCAGCAATAAATGGATACGATGGTAATAAACTTTCACAATGCATATCACCACAACGTAAAGAAGCACTATATGGTGAAATAAGGTTGAAATAGGTAAGAAATTAGAAACTACACATCTCTTTAAAAAATTGTGGTAGATCTTTCAGTGTTCTTTTTTATTTTTCTAATTTGAAATAATTATAGATTCACAAGAAGGTGCACAGAGAGTATTAAGAGGACCTGAGCACCTTTCACCCAGTTTCCCAATAGTTACACCTTACATAATTATAGTGAAATATCAAAACCAGGGATTCAATATGGATACAAATATGTAGATTCACATATGAAATAACCATCTCAATCAAGATACAAAACTATTTCTTCACCACAAAGCTCTCATTTATATACTTTTACAGCTACACCCACCTCTCAGGGAGAAAGGTGACCACCGCCCCTAACCCTTGGCAACCATTAAGCTCCTGTTCATTTCTGTAATTTTGTCCTTAGAATGTTATACAGATGGAATTATATATAGAATGTGACCTTTTGAAATTGAGCTTTTCCACTCAGCTTAGAGTGAACTTGGAGATATCCACCCAAGTTGTGTATAGCAAAGGTTCATTCTTTTTACTGCTGTGTAGCAGTCCATGATATGGATACATCAAGTTGTTTATACATGGGCCTATTAAGGGATACTTTGGTTATTTCCATTATTAAAAAATAAATCTGCTATGTGCAGGTTTTTTCGTGTAGGTCTAAGGTGATATGAGAAGATTTCTAAAATGCTTTATGGTGTAAAAAAAAAAAGATCATGCAAAATAGGATATATTTTAAGCTCCTATACATGTGTAAAATTGTACTACTAGTGATAATATAGATATACATTAGGGAAGCTGGAAATCTTTGGACTTTTTCTCTAAGGCTAGACTCTTTAAACAAAATCATCTATTTGGCACCGCTTCGTCTAAATCTGTGTTTCTTACATTTTTTTCATTATTGCCCTCTAGGAAGAGAGTATAGATATTTTTTTTTCCTAATTACCCCCTTTCTCCATGCCATTTTACTGCCACAGGTATGCTAGATACCTGCTTATATACCCTTTGTATACCTGTGCTTTATACATAAAAACAGTGAGTTTGCCTTTTCAGCACAACCACCAATTTTACCTTTTGATGGTCAGATCAATGCCAGCTGAGATACATACTCCAAAGTCATGAAAACACTGTGAAGACAGTGTGGCATGCAGGGCTGGGGCAGAAGTGTTAGGTAGCCAACGGCAAACATCATTTAAAAATGATGGCTCCCTTTCCAAGCAAAAGCAAAGAGCTGATGCCCCAAGGACTGTTCCCCTATGTTAGAATTAGGTTCCCTGTGTGTGTGTGTGTGTGTGTGTGTGTGTGTGAGAGCCTTTGTAAGTGTGTATTGTGTATTTATGTTCATGGGTATATAAAAGAATGTTGAAAGGAGACACAAGAAACCAATAACCATGAACAGGAATGAGAGTATCAGAGGGAAGAACAAATAATGTCTTTTTTATTAAACATTTCTAAAATTTTCTTTTTTCTTTTTAATAAAATAAGCATGCATTACTTTTCTAAAAAGGAGTTTTTTATTTATCCCCACCCAAGAAAATGTTTACTGATTTTAAAGACAGCAGGGGGGGAGGGGGAGAGAGAGAGATACATGCCCCAACTTTGTATCAAACAGCAACCTAGGTATGGGCCCCGAGGAATCAAACCCACAACCTTTTGGTATTTAGAACAATGTTCTAACCCACTGAGCTACACTGGCCAGGGCAAGCATGTATTACTTTTTAAATGGAAATAGTTTAAAAATTACTGTGTAAAAGCCCAAATTCCATAATGTATAGCAGCCACTTATTATTGCAATATCTGAATATATAAGTCCATACAAGAGACATTTTGAAATAAAATAAAACCCTGAATAATCATTCAGGACATCCGTAAGTATCTTGACTACTCAATGCACGGAGTCTATCATCAAGCCTTCCTCTTTACAGATACACACAACCCAGGGTGTTTTGGCATTGGCATTGTAATATGCCCTTTCGGTACAAATTTAGGAACCTACACAGGAGTGTTTTATATCACCATGCACGTAGTTTATTGTATAAAATTTACAACTGCTATTGAACCATTAAAGAGTTATACTTAGACACAAAATATAGGTTACATAATACTGCTTTCTTTCAGTGTTGCCCAAACAATTCTCTAAAACCTACTATAATTTTATGAATCACCTAACATCTTTAAAACATAAATATAATCAATTCAAAATTAATTAGATTCCCACAAACTTGAAAGGATAAATTCAAATACTATGCTAAAATGAATACATTGTGAGTGAAATAATTTACTTAGATACTGTGAAAGTTTTATTAAACCCTAATTTTTCATCTTAAAAATCTCACTTATTCAAGTCATGCCCAGGGGGGCTACACCTGCTCAGTGTTGCTATGTCAAGCTCTGTCCAGGAGACAGAAAAATTCAGTGGAGAGCATAGAAAGGTGAGGCAGGCAACAGGCCCAAAGCTACACAGTGGAACTGAGGAGATTAATGTTGAGTGAAGGTGGCAGGACATATGGCAAAATAGCAGGAGTCTGCTTACCCCTCACTGCTGTTTCTAACTCTAATGTTCCTTAGGGCTAGGCACAGTGCCACGTGCTCTTTACTATTCTACTTCTGTGTACTCCCTGGCACACTGAAAATCTTCAGTAAATGCTAATATAATTGACGGTCTTCATTGTCATCATTTTTGCTGTTCTCAGCTGCTTAAACTACGACAAGGTTACCAAGTTTGTTGAGAGAAATATATCTCAGATAGAATATAGTTAAGATACACAAGTTTAGACCTAAGTTATTTTTTTAGAATTAATTGGATGCTTAACTAATTGTCTAATAAATTGCACTGAAAGAGTCAGGGCACATGAATTTTTTATCTTCCAAAGTGAATCACTATCAATCCCTAATAGTACTTGGCTTGAGAAAGTCTTATGTATGGGGAGTGATAAAAATAAGAAATAAGAAAAGAAATAACCTTTGTCGCTATTGCTAATGCTCCCAGCCTTACAATAAACAAAAAGCCATTTTAACCACAGTATGAATCCTTATGAATTTGGGTTTACATTTTATTACTCACTGTACAGGAAATGTACCTTTATATGAGCCCCACTGTTTAGTGACTTAAGTTTGTATAATTTTTGACATTTAAAGTGTGTAAGTGTTACTAAAATTATCCTGTTTACTATATAAAAATCTGTTTTAATCTATCAAAAAAATCAAAAGTGACTTACATTTGCTGAAAGTTGAGATGTGAGGGTAGCCACTTTTTCTTGAGATGCAACCAGCTCTCTCCGAAGTTTATGAATTTGCTGAATGTAATTAAAAATAAATCAATTTAATATGCTAGCAGATTTTGACTTAAAACTAAAATTCAATCCAAGAAAGCAAAGAAGACATTATAGTTAGCCCCTTCGACTCCCACTATGTCAGCACCAATTTCTGAAAATTAAAGAAATGTGAATACTAGCTGCACAGTAACAATGAAAGCCACTGATAAGAAGAGGGGTAAGTGCCTGTGTTCAAAGCTGGGACTCAAATCTGCCAGTGAAGGCATGTTTACTTGTTCCATTTGCCATCCCTGCCTGACTGAAGAATCAGTTTGCTCTTTATTGATTCTTTAGAGAAATTTGCAGTAATAAAACTCAGGTAGCAAAAATCTGTATTTTTAAAAAATTAAATATATATATACATATTTTTTCTGGGTCTTTTGAGTGAAAAATATTCCATGTTATTTATCTATCAAGTGTTTTTTTGCATGTTTATTTTAAATTTCCGTAATTTGGAGACTTCTTAGAGCTGCAGAAATCCTGCAGTCACTGAAAGCTGTCTCTGAGTCAACATTTAATGACCCCATATTTGAAAATAATTTTATTGGCTGGAGTTTTAATGACTGACACTCAGAGAAGCCTTCCCAAATCTTGATTATAATGCCCTTTATTCAATGAGTTACTCAGAAAGGCTTTATAGATTATCCGTAGTTAAAAATAAGGGGAAAAATCAGTATTATTGTGCAAATAACTAGATAAACAACAAAGTAAATATGCTGAAATGTTTTCCTTTTCAGTTACGTTCACACTTGAATAAAACTGTACCAGAAAACTATAAGAATATATGATATATTTAAAATTTTAATTTAAGCATTTTCGCAGTTTAACCTGCATGTCTCATGCTGCCATGAACTAGAAAGGTAAGACATTTATAAGTTGACAAGGAAACTTCTGGTCTCAAGGGGTTTTAGTCAAACATTCTACCCTGATGATTCTCATTTCTTCAAAAACTACTCTCCTTTTGTTGTATTTGGATTTGTGCAATATGGTCTCAGTTTGAAAGAGAATTCTTGACACAGTTCGCTACGTCTCCTTTTCTCTTTTCTCCCTTCACATTAGACTTTTGTGGAGAAGAAACAGTGGTCAACATTGAGAGACTAATAAAGAAGTGAGCTGGAAGCCGGAAGCAGAGACAGAGGGCATTGTTATCATTTGGGCAAAGGCGATTCCTTTTCACTCTTGTTTTTTAAAAAGAGATACATCCTAGCCCCAGTTAACTTTTGAGTAACATTCCTAAGATGATGGCCACAAATAAGTCTCAGAAATCAGAGAATCCATTTTATTCCTAAACCCAATTCAAAGAGGCTTTATCAAATGAATAGCCTCTACTGCAGGATCCCACTTCCTTTAAAATATAACCCAGGAAAACTTAAAGTACTGTAAATTATTTTTTTTAAACCATGATCCATGGTGGGGCATGAATGATAAAAGGAGATCTGGATAATTACTAATAAGGCAAATAGATGTGGCATTTTTATACTTCGGTAGCTATATTATGATCAACGTTAGTCACCTTGCCATGTCCATACAATGCAAATAAAAGAGGTTTTAAAAAAACCATAATCACTTTTTTGGTCTAGTAATTACAAAGGTGAAATTGGTATAATCAATACTTTTTCAGTATTTTGAAGTACATCACAAACTTTACATTAAAGGCTAATAAAAATACGACTTCAAAGGAAAGAATTCCTTTGTAGAGACTGTTGCCAAGACATTTATTTTCTCTGGGTTCTGACTGCCTCAGTGTAAACCAATCAAACAGTCATTACTGTACCTTGAATAAAGGCCTAATTAAAGTCCTTCTGCTCTTCCTGGCCAGCACAACTCTTATACAAAGGGAATATTCTCTCCAGGCTGAATTCTGATTTGTATGTGATTGCGAGGAAGTGTGTATTTCTGAAATGTGTATGATTAGAGCAATATACCGCACTAGACATAAAGTGGTGGTTACAGGCAGCAAAGTCCTGGCACCGAAGACATGGACTGGGGTGCCGGTAGCTTGTGTTGTGGAGGTCTGGGGCTCCAGTCAATGGTTTCCTTAATCCTAGGCAGTTAGTTTTATAGGCAGTGGGGAGAAGAGGCTAATAAAATAGAAAGACTGTACACTCAATCATCCATCAAAGATTTTATGAGTGCTTGCTACCAGATATAATTTATTAGCTAAGACTCCAATCTATAATGTGAGAGGAGAATTTGCTTGTAAACGCTGCATTTCATTTTATTTTAAGAAGAAATATCTGACCTTTTATCAACTACTTTGGTCATTTGTATCCAGTGCTGGAAGGTTATGCTATTGTAACAGAGCCCTCTAGTGGGAGAAAACCTCATTTCATCATAAACCTATACTAGAGTAGTCAAATATAAAAATGCTACAAGCTTTTTACCTCTGAATGAGCTTTTTCTTCAGCCTGTAAAAGAGAAAATGCAAAAAAAAAGTTATTATAAATAATGTCAATTAATTTCACATGTATGAATAAAATAATTAAACTGTGTATTTAAAAATAGGGGGGGTGAGGGAAAAGATTAACCAAAGAATTTATATGCACATATGCATAACCCATGACACAGGCAATAGTGTGGGGAAGGCGGGAGAGGGGGTGGGAGCGGAGAGGAGGGGGTCAATGGGGGGAAAAAATGGGAACATTTGTATTACTTTCAATAATAAAGATAAATTTAAGAAGTAAAATAAAACTGTACTGTCAAAAGAGCAGCAACTAGCCACAGATGGCTATTAAACACTTGAAATGTGACTAATTCAAACTGGGATGTACAAGTGAAAAATATACACAGGAGTTTGAAGACTTAACGCAGAAAATAATGTAAAATATCTTTACAACTGCTTTATACTAATTCCATGTTTAAATGATATTTTTGGACATACGGTGTTAAATAAAATATATTATTAAAAATATTATGATCTAACATAAGAATATAGTAAAATGCATAATATTAAATTAAAACAGTAAGAACAGGAACTTTTAGAATTGCAAATGAATATTTATTTATACATAAGCCATGTAGTATTTTTAAAATATAGGTTAGTTGACTCATGGATATATAATATCCCTTAAAAGCAAAGGATGAAATCGAGAGATAGTATTAGTCAAAAATCCAGACCAAAGACAAAATAGTTTTAAAATTATACTCTAAAAAAAATGCGTACCAAAAAATATTGGAATTTAAAACTCAGATTGTAGGAAACGGACTCCATAAAATTATAGGGACCTGCAGCCAAGTTTTAGGAGCCAGAATTTTATTCTGTGATTTACAGATCATAAAGAATGTCCAATAAAGCTGAAGGGAAAATACTGGCCTCTACTGATAACCACAGAAATCAGGTTTCTAGTTTCTATTTTCTTTTAGTTTTCCTGATGATCATTAATTAAGTTTATTTGGCTACAAGTCAGAAAAACACTAAAATGTCCCGGGTTAAGGTGGTGATGAAAGGGGCTGAGGAACATCTTCAGTTTATGCAGATTATGCAAATGAGGGTGCCTGTGAAAACTGGCTGAGGGTTTTGGCTTCAGATGCAGAAGACTCCCAGCTCTGGTTTTCTTCTTTGTGCTGGGCTGCAAAGTGCCAGAGTGTGAATTGTGTGCACCATTACATTCGAGAAGCTCTCTCATTCTGGAAAAAGCTGGAGAATGCAAAATGTAGAACAGCACAAGTCTGCTCATTGCTTTGAGCAGATCCAATGCTCAGAACAATCTCTTATCTCTTTTTGGGTATATTGCCTGATTAATTGATGCAGATATACCTGAACCACTTTTTATATCTTCTTTTCCTCCAGAAAATGTAAAATACAACAAAGTATTTTAAACATGGAGATATTTTTATGTGTAAGCATCTCTTGAGTTTTTTCTTTCCTATATTTTCTTTACTCTTAAAAATACAGTATAGTTAGTAATATAGTAGTTAAATAAAAGAGTGGTAAAGTAGTAGAGTCCTATTAGCCTTTACAAGAAAATTGTTTTAAAAATCAATGCTGACATAAAGCTCGAATATTTTACATCTCAACTTTAGTTCTTTTAAGTGAAAATCTTTTTAATTTTAGTAATTTCAAGGTTTCATAATAAGTTTGTTTTTGAATCATAAGTAGGAAAGGAATTTTAAATAAAATTTCATAAAATCAAGAGACAGATGCAGGCTGTTTGCCATAAGACATATGGCACGATTAACTATGACTATTTGGTTTCCCTAGTACTTTGCATATTTATTGCCAGTTTATTCTGCCCAAATCCTGCCTCTAGGCTTGCTAAGATTATAGAAGACTGATACTCAGTAAATAATTTGTGTATTCCAAACAAGCAATGTAAATAGTCAAGGAATGGTCACTTTTTTTTTCATTAAAAATGCATGGATAAGTTACATATACTAGTTATAAGCCTAATTATTATATATTATTTCTCTATATACTATACATAATGATTTCTCTCATTGCAGACTTCTCAGAATTATCTTTTCCTCTAATATTTGCCTACTTTCTTAGGCTTGGCTGTTAATACTGGGTAGGAGTTACTATAAAGCTGAAGCAATGAGCCAGAATATTAATATTACATTTTGTTCAGTGGGTTAGGCATAGCATGTGATTGATTACTTGCCATTGTAAACAATGGTTTTAAAGCAGGCCCAATGTCCTGAAGGACGGTAAACATTATGAAACACCTTACCTAAATAAAACTATAGGAGATTATTCTTTATTCTATAAGCCATTAATTGGCCATTTATTCATCCATTCAAACTTACAAATTAAAAGTATATATTTACTTTAATATTAGCTGTGTGTTAGTAAATACTAAAGAGATCTACAATGAACTAAACATGGCCTTTGCTCTTATTAAACGAACACAAACTAGATTCCAAGTACAAATCAAGTTCAATGAAGTTTTTAATATATAGCCAATCAGAAAACTACTGTAAGAATAAAAAATGTAAATGCATAGCAGGTTCAGGCTTACAAAGAATAAAAAGGGCTCTGGGTCCTAAAAATAAAATTGAATAGCTTCCTAGGCTATCTTTTATTCTCTCACTTTTCATAAATACATAGATAATGAGGATTATTCCTTTCCTATGAGAAATCCACAGTACAATGACAGCAACCCAAACTCAACTTCAGGAAGAAAAGAGGAGGTGGAGGCTTGGACTTGCCTGAAAAAACATGCCAGTCTCTAAAGGGGGTGATGCCAGGGGACTGTAACCCTGGAGGAATTTCATCTTAGTGATTTTAGATATTCTGGTTATTTTTAAAAAGAATTAAAAAACTTATTTTTAGGTCAAAGCTCCAGATTTCAGAGTGTTGTTTTGGATTACAAAACAAACACAAACTCTGTTTACCCAAAGTAATAACTTGGCAGATGAGACTGGGCCTGTCATTTGTAACGAGTTTGCAACCTCCCTGAACCTTTCAGTTCAGGAATTCTAGAAGGTGATTTACACAACTTTATAAACAGATACATTTGAAAAATTATACCAAATTATAATTGGTAGAGATTTTAATAGAACTACATGTGAAGAAAGAATTCTTCCAATGGGATTTGTTAGACTGGTGATTTTACAGGTAAAGGTTCTTTCCAACAAGCCATCTTTGTTAGTGTGCTTTAATATTTTAAAGCAAAATATGTAATTCCATAAATTGCATAAATAAGAGTGTTAGAGTAAACATGGGTTTTGCCCATGTTAATAAGAGCAGTATTTTACCTGATAAGAAGAGACAGTATCTAACGTTCTTACAAAAAAGGAAATTTTCCCCCTAAACACCAATTATTTTACTTAGGAACACCATGCACAGCAGTGTTAGTGTGCACTGCATACTTCAAAAGATGCGGTTACATAGACTATGACACAAATGGTGCTCCCTAGAACCAGGCAATTAACAATGTTTTGTCATTTATGGTATACAACATTCCTGGTCTTCTCTAATTATTTCAGAAAAACTATGAATATATCTGTCTGTTGTTTTCTACTTTTATTTTACAGGTCTAGTCCAAAGAAATTTGGCAACTTGCCTAATGTCAAGCAATAATTACTGATATAGTCAGGCAAGAATGCAAATCAATAGAATCTATATCCAGAATCCTTAAAAAGGTATGAAAAATGATAAATTGCCTTTTCACTTCATATTTGAAAAGCACTGTCAGATATTTTATCATTGCCAATTAAGTCTCAGTGCATGGAAAGGGGAGTTAGAGACAGAATGATTCCTTATCGTCTTTAATTTTTATCTTTATTAGTCCTCCAAATAGTCATTTTTGAATTGTTTTATTATAGGTTATTTGTTAATTCAAGTATATAATTTACATCACTTCTAATACAACTATTTAAATTTCCTAATTTCCTAATAATATCACCTTGTCATGTGGCTTGATCACCTAACCCATCCTTTTCACACTTAACACTAGGACGTAATTCATCTCTGATGTTGGCCTATAAATATGTGTTTATAGCCTATTTTCATCTCTGTTCCCATTTCATACTGTACTATTAATACAATGCTTCTCATTTATGTTTCCTAATTGCCCTTATTATTTCGACATATTTATATACCATATTATATCAATATCTATAAATCTGTATCTATATCATATATCTAGCCTTTTTTAAATATACCCCCTTTGTTCACAATAAACCTGCAATATCCAATATGGCAGCTACTTGACACATATACTTATTTAAGGTTAAATTAATTACAATTAAAAATTCAGTTCCTCTGTTACACGAGACACACTTGAAATACCCAATAACCACGTGTGGTTACTGCGTTAGACAGTGAAGTTATAGAACAGCTTTATTATCACAGAAAGGTCCGTTGGACTCTGGTATATACTAATTAGCTGTTTTTCTTCAATCCATGCTCTTTTATTCTTGAGTCTTTCTTGGGCTTCATAAAGGTATTTTTATCCAAATGTTGCTTTTGTATATGTTTGTATATATTTAAAATATGATTATAATGATGTTGCATTTTCATGCTCTATAGGACTTCAGCTGCAATGGTTTCAGTCAGAATACACCTCCCTGAAAAGCAGCAGCGCTGGCCCAACAGGAGGAACACTAACTCTTAACATATTTCTCTTACACATTCCGTTTCCAATATATTTTCACATTTCTCACTTCTTTATCTATTTGCTTAACACAGTAGATTTAGCTAAACACTAATAGTGATTTCTTTAGTTATATATTTCATTGGAAATTTTAAAAAATGTTTTTATTGATTTCAGAGAGAGGAAGGGGGAGGGAGAGATAGAAACAGCGATGAGAGAGGATCATCGATCGGCTGCCTCCTACATGCCCCCTTCTGGGGATCAAGCCTGCAACCCAGGCATGTGGCCTGACCAGGAATTTAAACTGTGACCTCCTGGTTCATAGGTTGATGCTCAAATGCTGAGCCACCCTGGCCAGGCTCTATTAGCAATTTTAATCATTAAAAGGAGAATGATAAGAAAAATACTGTCTCTGCTAATGATAACCTAATTTTGAATAACTTTGTAAAGCAATAAATATTAAGATAAACTTATAAAAAGAGAGGCATAAAAATTTGAGCCTAATAAAAATGAGTTTAAAAACCCCAATTTTTCCCTTGATGCTTAATTGCTCAGCGAACAGCAAAGGCTGTGAACTTTTTATGAACCTTTCAGTGCAGGATTAAGGATTATTCCTACCCTTCAAGTCTCAGTGCAATTCAGTAACGCTAAATATACCTCTCTCTTACACAGGCATGAAAAAACCCCCCTGTAAAAAATAAATTCCTAAAGTCTATCTTTTTTGAAAAAGATGAAATTATATTAAGCAGACAGAAAACTCACCTTTACAAAAATAAAATATAACTTCACATATTGGGAAAATAAGTTGACACATTGGCATTTCTCTCTTAAGAAATGAAGTTTTAAAAATCATATTCTATTTCAGGAGATTATAAAATAAATCTCAAAGCCTCTGAGGCCTTTACACTTTGGCATAATCTTTTCAAAAAACAAACTAAAAAAAAATACCGTAGAACAATCATGGCTCAGGGAACCAAACAAAGAAAACTATCCAATATTATAAAATATGGTAGAGCACAGCACACGATTTCAGGAATTCCAAGTTATATCTTAACAGGTCTTGTGAAATTCCATTTTCCTTCCATAAATTGATTATAACAAGAACCCAAAAGTCAGGCGGAAGCCCACATACGTGGACCACAGAAGCGCTATTACTGTACTTGCCAGCTTCTCGGGTGTGCAGGAGCTTAGAGTATTTCACCAACAGCCCTCATTTCATTGTGAAATTTCTGTGTAAATGTCAGTCTGTTTAATCATTTGTGTGCTTGGCAAAGGCAGGAGCTTTTTCTTAATGGTCAATACTTACTGTGGAGTAAAGAGAAGAGGTGCTGGAGACCAGTGACAATGAAGAGCCATGAACTGAAGAAAACAAAAAGAACAAAAGGTAAACTGCAGAATTTGCTCTGGAACACCAGGTCTTGACTAAAGCATGAAGAACAGGGAAATAAAATAATAACTGCTGGACAAAAGAACTGGAGAATAAGTCTGTCATCATTTTTTTTGGATATAAATATGTTGAGACACGGAAAGACACATACCTACCCCCTAAAGTATCTTATTTATCATGTTATAGAGGGGGTGTTTTGCACATACTGAAAGCTATGGTAAACTCTCACATAATCAATAATCAGAAAATCATGAAAACTTGAACTACAGTTGCCATAAACTTTAAAAAGCCTTATGTACTTTATTTATTTGATTTTATTTTATGCAACAAATATGCATTTTCAATATTTTCCACTATGTATTTTTGGGGAAGTATTTTATCCAACTTGTTAGATCAACATTTTCTGTGATAACTTGATTATGTTTTTTTTAAAATGGAGAATTATTCTTTATAGCTGCATAATATTCCTTGGTGTAAATGTCCCACAGCTTTTTTACCCACTCATCTACTGATGGGCACTTGGGCTGCTTCCAGATCTTAGCTATTGCAAATTGCGCTGCTATGAAGGTAAGGGTGCATAAGTTCTTTCTGATCAGTGTTTCAGGATTCTTAGGATATATTCCTAGAAGTGGGATCACTGGATCAAAAGGCAGTTCCATTTTTAATTTTTTTGAGGAACCTCCATACTGTTTTCCATAGTGGCTGCCCCAGTCTGCATTCCCACCAGCAGTGTACTAGGGCTCCCCTTTCTCCGCGTCCTAGCAAGCACATGTCATTTGTTGATTTGTTGATTGAGCCATTCTGACAGATTAACCAAAGATTTTATGCACATAGGCATAACCCATGGACACAGACAATAATGTGGTGAAGGCCTGGGGAAAGGAGTGGGTGCAGGGGGGAAGGGTCAATGGGGAAAAAAAGGGGACATCTGTAATATTTTCAACAATAAAGATAATTTTTTTAAAATGGAAAATTATTGTTTCTTTTGTAATTTTAATGATAGAAAAATACTTCTTATTTCAAGGTGGTGTCTCACTGAAATTAAGAATGGAAATTACTGTCCAGTTCCATGGATGGAACTGGAGAGTATTATGCTAAGCGAAATAAGCTAGTCAGAGAAAGACAAGTAGCACATGATCTCACTGGTACGTGGAATCTAATGAACAAAATAGATCCAGAGATATAGAAGCATGGAACAGACTGAGGGATCTCAGAGGGAAGGCAGGGGTGGGGGAGTGGGTGGGGAGAGATTAATCAAAGAACTTACATGTATAAATGCATAACCTATGGACACAGACAATAGTGTGGAGAAGGCCTGGGGGTGGAGGGATGCAGGGTGGAGGGGATCAATGAGGGTAAAGGGGAACATCTGTAATACTTTCAACAATAAAGATAAATTTAAAAAAAAAGAATGGAAATTGCATACTGTCTTTTATCTAGGTATATCAAAATACCATCTCAAACAATTAACAGAATGCTTTATATTTCTGCACGTCCAATGTATTAAACCCAAAATGAAGATAAAGTTGTGCTTAATTATATTTGTAGAAAAGTCTTTTCTTTTCTCATTGTGGTATAATATTAAGTTATCTCTGCTTATTCATCTATTAAATAAACATTAATTGAGTGTATACAATGTGACAGGCCCTTACTAGATCCTGGGACTATAAAAATGAATGACACTATCCTAGGAGCTGAAAAGGAAGTAGAAAGATACACAACTAAAAACATAATCACAACAGAGGAATATAAATACTATCAAGACGATGTATTGGGTAGTGTGAGAGCACATGGGAGGTGCTTACAACCTGTGTGGAGAGATCAGAGGGAAAAATGCAAATACTACCTTTCTGTGAGATATGCAAAATGTTAGTTTTTTTGTTTGTTTGGTTGGTTGGTTGGTTTTTAAAAGCACATTCTTTCAACCTGGTATGAACTAGTGTGGTATACCAGAAGGAAGGTGGACAATGAATCAGGAGATCCCATTTTCAGCCTTTTTTCTGCTACTTGTACAGTATTTCTGCCATGTGATTACTTAGGATCACTTCATATTTATAGGTCTATGACCTTATAGTTTGTGGCTTAGTTACCTCATCTTTCCTGTGAGCACTGAGCAGTACTTCATTAAACTCCCTTCTATCTCTCTAGTCCAATAATTTCTCGACTCTAGACCATAATTCAAGAATTATAATAGTTCGGTATTCAGTGCATGGCCATCAAAAAGGCATCTTGCCCACTCAGGCTGGCATTCAGAAATTCAGAGTATTCAATCCTCATAAATGGAAGGCCAGAAATTCCCAGCATGTGAACAGTATTCTCTTTGTAAAGGAGGCAGTCTAGAAATCCATCAGTATGCTTATCAAGTTAGGAGGCCTATGAAGAGAGTGATAGAGGCATTTCAGGAAAGCAATGACAACATTGCAGATTAGTTATATTTTTTCCTATCTTCACTGCAGTAATCAGCAGACTCTCAAGGAAGAATTCACCCTTTGTCATGGTGAACTCAGTGGTTTGGTTACTATCCCAAAAAGCTGTGGCAACTGTGGTGAATTTTTTTTAGTGCCAGCATGTTAAATACACAGAGGTGACCTGAACACCATGAGCTAATTTTCAGAGCTGCCTAAGCTTTCAGTCAGAGACACTTTAAATAAGAAGGTAGGGAGGTAACGGAGAAAGGAACAAAACTATCCTTTACTTTAATTCCATCCTCATGACAAACCTGCAAAATTATTGATGTGGAAATTAGAGGTAATAAACTTAGGAAATTTGCTCATGTTCATACCACAAATAAATGGAAAGCCAGAGGCTTAAGCCTTAGTATATTTCAAGATCTGGGGTCCTTTCTTTATACATAATTATTAAAGAGTAGGAGACTATGGCTGATTTAATGTTTTATTTTATTCTAATCAATTTGAACTTCTACATTTACTTTTATCTTTAACTGATTTGTTTTATAAACTGAATGCCACATTTTTCCTTTATATGTATTTAAAAATCAATCGTTAAATCAAAGAGGAAAATCTCCCAATATTATTATCAACTTTGATATTTTAGGTTATAGAGTTTAAAAAATTTATATACATTTAAAAATCAATTAGGCCTAAGTGTTTCAAATAAGATTTATTATAAAGTCTTTATACAGAACTTTACAATTAAAAAGATATTTACTAGGAGAGGTGAGAATTTTATTACATTAAATAAGGAAATGTAACTTTTAAAGCAAAATATGAATTAAAAAATGATATAATGAAAACTAACACAAGAGGGAGTTTCTGAGAAAGCAAGCTGGCAGCACATGATAGTTTCATAAGATAATTTTTCTGATTCATATTTCTTTATGGCCCTTTAACTGAGATGTCAAACAAAAAGATTACTCTGACATTTGATACATTAAGTAGTCTCTAAAACTATGTAAATTTTTGTATGAGAATTTATTCTGAACTATTTTATAGCCCATTATTAATCTAAATGATTTCTGGCATATTTCCAAATGCATGAAGAAAAAAAAGTAGTGCAAACTAAAACTTCTTCTAGCTCAGGGCTCTTCAAATAAGAGTTGCACTTATTTATTTACTCTTCAGGAATTGTTGTGATATGAGTGATGTGATAGTTTTCATCTCAGTTAAATAAAGTAACCTCATCTTTATTTCCCTCCACACCTACCTTCTTCCATGCTGTCTCGAAAGGAGCCTGAATGACTGATGGCACGTGGTCTTTCCTCCAGAGACGTGGCACTCCCGCAGAGCTGGGAGTCGTCGTAGAGGTCAAAGGAAGAGTCTTGGGCTGGGATGCTATTTGAGCGCATCATGCTGGGCCCGGGAAGGTTGAACTGAGACAGGTTGGTTGGGCTCACTGAAAAACAAAGCACACACAGCCTATTATTCTGTGGCTTGGGTGATGAAAATAGCAGGTTGAAAGTGAAAATGTTATTCCAGTTCTTATGGAAACATGAAGCTATAGGTGTCCCTATCTAAGGTAATCCAAGAGTCTGCCTCTGAAATGTTCAATGACAGCTACAGTGAAGGACCTCTTTTCTTCTAGCACTTCTGTGAAAGCAGTATGTCAGTTTCTAAAATAATATTAAATAAAACCAGCAAGTTACCTCTACTGTTCATGCTAGAAATATAACATGGTATTTTCTGCTAGTCTATGAAGAAAAGACTGTCAATCTAGAGTCTGCAGGTTTCTTTTTTGAGAAGACTGTATCACTTTAATGGGAAAGTCAAAATCAAAATGAAAATACAAAAAATCTAAATTTCCCAAGAAGAGCCTTTCAAAGATTCCAGGCAAAGACTCTCAGTCATTTTGAGTTTCAATGTAGGTCTCTTCCAGCTCAGATTCTATGTTTCTATGAGTGTAGAAGAAAGGGATTAATTCTGAATAGTTTGAAGGGTGAACAGAGAGAGTGGGGTAGAAGGTCATTCAAGGTGGAGGGATCCTTGGAAGCACAAACAGAGAAGCTTCCATAAAAGGGTGTTTAAACATCACTCTGTGTGCAGAGGGGTCTGTCAAATATATAGAACCTGGAAGTCACAGGTTGATAGTAAATCTTCTGCATGGTAACCCATAACGCAAGGTGAAAAAGCAACCTGGGCAATTGTTCTCTCTCTGGGGAAATGACAATGGCTCTTACCAGGTTTGAGATGCCTCACCACAATTGTTATCAATAGTAAATAAAGTTTCATCCAAAAATTTATTTGGGATGGAAAAAAATGGATCTATTAAAAGATAACTAGCATATTTAAACTTCTTAGATTCTTGTCATTCTTTCCTATGTTTTCTATGATGTTTATATCAATGATTTTATATTTTATACAAATGATACTAAGCACAAAGTAACCCAAAGATTAAGCTAGTTATTTTTCATTGTATTTATCCAAAAATGTTCACAGGGTATTATCTTAATAGAAATTCTCATATGCATTTTTTAAATCCTTATCCGAGCATATTTTTTTCCATTGTTTTTAGAGAGTGGAAGGGAGAGAGAGACATCGATATGGGAGTCTACTGGTTGCCTCTCGCACGCATCCCGACCGGGGCCAGGGATCGAGCCTGCAACCGAGGTATGTATCCTTGTGTATCCTTGGCCGGAATCAAACCCGGGACCCTTCAGTCTGCGAGCCGACTCTCTAGCCACTGAGCCAAATGGGCGAGGGCTCATATGCATTTTTAAGGAGAGTTTTAGCTTTAAAATAGTGAAAGAAATGATCTTGGAGTCATAAAATCACATAGTCTTTCTTCTTAATAATTATTTATACTTTCTATTTTTCTACAAACAAGTTGATTAATTTTGTCATAAGGATTTTAAAAAACATTTTAAAGAAAATACAAGCTGGTTTACTCATTTTTAAGAGGACTCTGAGAAAACCCCTAGGCTTGAAGTCGGTGTTCTGGAATCAACTGTTGCCCCTGCTTCTTACCAGGGGTAGAATTTCTTTTCAGGTCAGATCCTAGACTGCAAAATAACAACCTATGTGAAGCTGTTGTCATGAGCAACAAACTGTATAATATTTGGAAATTATTTCAAGCACAGTAAGCAATCACACAAATAAAAGGGACTATTAGGATGCCTTTATCTCTTCCGTAAATGAACAGTTTTTGTAGAGAGATACCAGGGCTCCTGTGAGGCTGGGTGGTGAAAGGAGTGAGATGTAATTGATGTTTTAGACTCTTTTACCCAAGTTAGAGAAGTGGTATTTTCCTGCTGCAGAAGATGACATGGCAGAAGGGGAGACCAGGGGTGACTGGCTGCCGGTGTCCTGCAGCCCTCCGGTTGAATGGGATCGCAGCCACTCTTTGCCCTCCTCTTGGTTGGCCTGCCGAGATGATGGGGTGTATCTGCAAAACAGCACAGCTGAGACACTTAAGCACATGTAAAGGGGCAAGGCAACAGCAGGACAAGAAAGCAACTGAGAGGAGCTTACTGTTCAGACTAAACAACATTCTCAAACAGACTGAGTCGAATTATAATTGCTTAGTTCTTCCAGATGATTTGACACCATCTGTTTGAATCTCACAGGGGGGAAAAAAAAGAGAGAATTTTGAAAAGAAAATTATGCTTTTGTGAGATATGTAGTTGATAATCATAAACAATGAGCAGACAGCCAAGTTAATTGAGAAGGACTGAAAAGCACAGTGCTTAGGAGGGTGTGCAAAGGGCGAAAACATAGACTAAAAATGATGGACAAGGGAATTGGAGTGATGGTCACAGGGAGGCATAGGAAAAGGAACATAAATTAACAGCTCTTTTTCTTTAATAAGGAAAAATATTTATTTGGTTAAAAGCCATTTGACATTGTATCTGGATCTTTATTATTTTTTTTAAAGGTGGGAGAATGCTCTCACTTTATTAGAAAACACACTCAGGAACAAAATCTTGAAGTGGAATAATTGCAAGCTCTTTGCGATTGCTAAGGAACTAGAGAGAAAAGGGGTAAGATGAAAAGATCAATTTGGCCAGTACTCACTTTCACCAGAGTAATTCTCAGCACTAAAGAGCAGTCAACTTCTTATGTTCACACAGTTTTATAGCAACATTAGTAGTTTATTCTCTGACTTCTCCGCAGATAAAAGTGTGCAATAATGGATGGCCATGGATTAAATTTTCATGTTATTTTTTATGATGAAATGGTAAGTTATTTTGAGATTACGTAATATTAGGCTAATTCATATTTAAATTAATGTGATAGGTATGAGCACTCTTAAAAAGACAGAAATTAAAACTCTTGAGTCTTTGCCAAAAGGATTAATTAAAAATTCATACCTATTTACAACACTTGTCCACTGATGATGAAAATATATTTTCCTTGCTTCAAATTAGAGCATCCTTTCAACATTAACTGGCCACATCTGTAGACTATATGGGATCTGAGGTTTTGTAAGTATATGCCTCCAAGATGCAAAAATTAGGGAAGTTAATTTTATTTTAATTTTCAGAAGTGAGTTCTGAATTCTACCAAAGTCACTGCCCCCATAAATGGTATTTACATTGGATTTAATTTGGGTTTTGTCCCGTATGAGCATCTCTGTCTGAGGGCCACCTCACCTACTCTTCAGACCTAAGAAAGTATTAAAAGTGACACCATCCTCAATATCAGGTCCTTCATTGCAAACAAACAAAGAAAGAGAAAGAAAGACAGCACAGAAAGTCTAAGTAACAACAGAGAAAGAAAGGCAGCAATTGTGCTGAGAGAAATATATATACCTTAGTCCCTTTTTGGGTAGTGTATTTCTGTCAAGCTGTATGCTGTTAAAACAAAAAAAAGCCCTAAGGACATAATGTAAACAAAACTTCCAAATTATACATCCAACAAAAATGGTTCTCTGTTTGAACTACAAAAAATAAACTTTTTGTAACATTTATTTAATGCTTAACTCTTTGGGAAAGGACAACCAAAGGTGACCATATATCTACTGTTGCAACACATGTAAGCTCCTTTCTAACCCAGTTCCAATCAATTATAATTTAGTGACAGGATTATAAGAAAAAAGATTCAATCATATGTTAGAATAATTCATCTCTACATTCTATTTACCTAATAGACTGTAGATTTTCCCTCCCCATGAAACTGACTAGACTTCCGCTATGCAAGAGAATCACAGAGGTGGAAATGAGATAGGTCTGCTCTATTAATTCGAATTGACAAGTTCCAACGGGCAGGGAAGATACAAACACTGTTTAATATTTATTATTGTCTTCAAATTATTTTTAATAAAAATAAAGGCAGACTTATTCCCCTTTCCCTATAAAAAAAAAATATATATATAATAAATATCTTCTTGAAACATAATGTATCTGCCATTATTTATTTACATATTTTAATAAAATTAAGCTATAGGCCATTTTTTGGAAATTATAAATTAAGTATTTAAAAGACTATAATTTTTATTGCTATTTTAAGGAATTAAAAAAAAAATCTCAATTGGTTGTAGAAAGGGGTGAAAGAATGTGTCTAGAGAAAATGAGAAATGGCCTCTAAAAATAGAGGAAGAAGGTTTCAGCAACTACATGGGACAAGTCTTGAGATTTCTGTTATAATCTCTGGCATGTGGATAATGAAGTAATACAATTAATTCGAATTTGCAGGATTACAGCTCTCTTCCATTAGAATCTCAAATGATCAAAATTAAACACACAGGATATATGCGTAATGGGGATGATACAGCATGAATGAAATTTAATTCACATTGACTTGAAATTGAATCACTCAGAATCAAAGCTAAAATGTTTTCTTCTGTGTGTACTCCATTATTTAGCACTGCCATGGAAAGCATCCAAAGACATTATAAAACTTTAATTGTATTTTCTGGGAATGCCCACATGAGGTAATTACTATATTATGTAGAGGCCAGTTCTAATATATATCTTGACTATAGGAGTTTTTTTAGTATTGTAAATAAACAAACAAACAAAAAGCTATCACACTGAACAAATATCAGAAATCTCCAAATGTCAGCTACATTGTGTTAAAGCTCTATTATGGTTAGAGGCCATTTTAAAGATTATCTCTTTCATGAGTGAAAATTTGTTAAAGTTTAACATAGTAGAGGAAATTGAATATAGGCACTGTCTTACCAATGTTATAACTGTATAAAAATTATATGTTTATGTTTAAAGAAAAATAAATATATATATATATTTAAATTTACCAATGTAAGTGAAAACTTTAAATAGAAATGTCTGTTCGAATCTAAATATCAATGATTTTATGATGTAGACACTTTCCACAAACCATGAAACGTCACAAACTCATGTGCCTGCAAGGGCCAGGCAGGCCCTGGAAACGGGGATTCTAGGCAATAGTCTGTCTAAAGCCAATAGATGCTGTGCAGGATAGTGACAGCAGTGTTCTCAGATCTGACATTTAAAGACAAGCCAGAACCTTCTAAAACTGGTTACTACTTTAAGTTCTTTTTCAAGTTTGGTTAGTTCACATAAAACAAAACAAACAAAACAAACGTAAACTGGTTATGGCCTGAGGGCCACCAACGATCTAGAGCAGCTAAAGGGAAAATTATTAAAGAAGTTATTTTATTGCTGGTTTATTTATTATTTCATGATATTTTATCTTCTCCTAAAGATAATAAAGAGGGCTTGAAACAACAATTAAAGTCTTTATGAAAAATTGTTTTAATAGTACTAGCATATGAGTATCAATAAAGTAGATACTGTAGATGAACAGGTTAAGTCATGAGCTTACTTTGGCCTCTATTACCTGCCTCTGATTACTTTGTCTTACATATTTACATTGCAGCACACTTGTTTCAGGTATGGCACTTTGGTTTCCTTAGCATTCTCAATATTCTGCTGACTGCTTCATTATAACTAAGCCAGGATCTCTGATAGGATCTAATTTCCTCTTCAATAGATCATAAACTTTTTTGAATGTACTTTAAAGGATTAGAATAAACTGCTTTCAATTTCCTTCTGAAGAAAGAAAAAGTACAACTTCTTATATAAAAAATTCAAACCAGTAGTAATTTACTGGGAGGAATTAATTAATACTTATATATCATATACTATACCTATGAAGGTATTTTAGTTTTCACAGTTTAAGAGTCATCAATACATTTTAGTGAGGATCATGGGGAAAACATTCACTTATTCGAAATTAGTGTAAAGTTTACTTTAGAAAAATTGTTCATCTGGTTGTTTTCAATATTAGAGGACTCTCATTTGTAAAAATGGTCTATTTCAAAGATGAACAACAGTTAAAGATTTTCTTAAAGAGAATAAGTAACTGCATAGTTGCCAGTGTATTTTTATAGTGAAAATGTATATTGACTTCTGCTAAAATACAGATCAAAGTAAAGTATTAACATTGCACTTATGTTATAGCTATAAACTTATCAGCTTATCGTCTGCTTTGATTTGAGGGTTACCTGCTTACAAATTAGCTATTTAATTATTCTTTTGAGTTTTAATGTCTGACTGGGAAAGAAATAGGTTGATGGTTAAATGGTTGATTTCTGCAGTCATGTTTATGATTAAAAATTAATCAGTATTTTGGAGGGTGATTTTGGTTAATAAAGAATAACTTATTTGCAATGTACTTGGTTTGGTTATAAAACTGTTATTTGGATTCCTCATATATCAGTACATAAACTAGGACACATTAATTAAAAATATAGGTTGTTAATATATTTTCAACATAATTTGATTTATTTGTGAGAAGTTTTGAAAATGACATTGGAGGATACCCATTAACCTGCAAAGTGCTAAAACTGAAATCTAAGATGCTGTAGGAAGCCTAAGTTCTTAGATCAGAAATTAAATGCAACAGTACTTATACCAATGTTTTTGTGTATGCACTTGGTATTTACATGCTGTCCATAATGACAAACCCAGAGGGGAAATGTCACCCAGCTGCTTGTCTTGTTTCTCCTGGTGCAGTTTTTTGTTTATAAGTAAAAAATGTATTTGGTAGGTAGCAGTCTACCATAAGAAGTATAAAGCATCAATGTTACAATTAGCTTTAACATTCTCTTATCAAGGGCAAGTCTCATTTGTATGGCTGTCCATGTACCATTGTTAGGGGAGTGGGAAGTAAGTGGGATAGAAGCAATGTTTTGCTCTTGGTTTTGCATTTCACAAAGGCAACAGAAACAGGAAAGAGTAATGGGAAATCTTACATTAAGGGACTACTGGTACACTGCAGTGAGAGTTTAGGTACTGGCTTTAGTTGCTGTTTTAAAAAATGATTCTGGGAGTAAGGCTGGAAGTCTGGAAAAGAGGTGATATATCAGCATCAGTACTAGATTGAACAAAAGTTTAGGGAAAGCCATCAGGTATTTTCAGTGACTAGTAGTGCTTTCACAAATAACACCATTAAGGTATGTGCCCAAGAGTTTTTTTTTTAAAAAGCTTTGGGTGTGCCAAGAAACAAATAGCATTAAGTTCATTAGGGGGAAAAAGTGGCTGTTTGAAGATATTTTCCTGGGGAAAGAGTTAGTGTCAAAATATCTGAGAAAGGAATTTTGTGGGGAGAGAATCTAGAGCCATTTTGGTCTATAGTGATGCTTTCTGGTAAGTGCATCAGGTAAAAAAAATGTCTCATTATGATCTTAACTTTCATTTTAAAAAATCCGTAACTCGTTAAACCAACAGGAAACACCTTGTAATAAGATATATTTTCAAGGGGCCTATTAAACATGTCACTGGTGTTACTATTATTTTCTCTAAGAATCCATATCTGACAATTGATTTTTTTTCCAATTCAACTAAGATTCCCCAGTGGTCCATTTATTATTCTTCCATAGACGTGCTAATAAAGCAAATTTAATATATTGCCCGGAGGGTAACTGCAGAATCGATTTAAATTTGGTCTTTAAAAACGCATACATTATCATAAGGAGCTAGCTGTGTTGTCCTGGAGCTTACGCCAAATCGTTCCAATGGCTTGAGGAGGCACCATTTGATACATAAATGCATGCTTTGAATTTTATCCCAGCTGCCTGTTGGGTATATGTATATGCATTCATATTGAGAGGAACGTAATTATCCAATTATCCTATCCTTGAAGATTTTGTTCTTGTGCAACCTTGGTAATAACAGTAAATGCAAGGCCCAGCCGCATCCATTTTACGTCCCTTTGCAGAAGCGGGGATCTCGCGGGCAAGGGGGTCGGCATCGCGCAGGGCGGCGGGGGCGAGGGCTCCGCCGACGCCTCCAGGGAAGCTCACCTTTCTGAGAGAGTAGATCTCACACTACCCGTTCTCATGAGCAGGCTCTGCACCTCGTGGGCGCCTGCGGTCAGTCCAGACAGGGAGCCGTGGTGGCTGAGGGGGAGGTCAATGGACTCAGAGCTCGTATGGAGGCTAGTCATGGACTGGTAACTCGGAGTGTCCTTGCTGCCCGCAGAGGAACTGCTCAGGTTGGCAGCCCACACGAGGCCGCCTGGCGTGAAAGAGTGGACCGAAGCCGGGCTGGACGCCAACGAGTGGCTTAAGCTTATAACGTCTGCGGTTAGGTCTGAGGGTTTACTGAAGAGAGGGCTGCTGCCGCCACTCAGCCCGCCGGCACTGCCCATGCTGCCGGTGCCGGACGACGGTGACTCCAGGCTGCCTTGGCGCGCTAATGTGGTACTAGGACTGGGCATTACTGAGGAGGATTTCACACCCTCAGTACTAGGTGCAGAGGCAGGTTTGCCACCTGCCTTGGCACCAAACAACCTAAAAGAAAAACAAATAACAGCTTCAGTTGTTCCAAGAAACTAACATCCACATTTGATCTTCAGGGTTCAGTACACAGAGCCAAGCGTGCTTGGGGGCGCCCGGCTCCCAAGCACTCCCCGTCTCCGTGTTAATGACCTTCATAAGCTTGAGCTTTTTCACCTGCCGCTCAGAAGCGCGCCTATCACCGTGAGGGTCAGTCCACCCTGGGCTGCTACCCAGGGGGCGGGGGAAGTGGGCAAAGCAGACGTAAACCAGACACGAAAATCCCTGGCTTTCACAACTGCAGCAAGCAGGAGAGTCTTTGACGAAAATTGAGCTGTTTGACTGTATTGGCTGTTACCTATTTACAGAACCATTGTCATGAAACAACTTCTACGCATTCAGTACATAAGGAACATTTTTTTTTTTTTTCCCGTTTTTAACATTTTATTCAAAATCTAGAAAGAATGCGTAAGGCGAGGTTTGGGAGGTTACGTTGCATAGCTGGTGGTCTGGGTGACTGGCAGGGAGAAGTTGGTGAGAAACAATATGAGACACTACTGGCAACACGTCAGCTTGTCTGCATTTTCCCCAAGAAAGGCCAGAGGGTTTTATGTCAGTTGCCAGGGCATTTCAAAGGCATATTTTTGTTAGTGATTTGAAACATAGCTGGTGCTGAGTTAGGTGTTGGAGCTTAGTTCAGAAAACATTTTAGTTTTGTAAATGAAGATGATATTACCAAATTTATGTAAGTATGGAAATAAAGTGACATGAAGTAATGGCATAATGATTACTAATTAAGTTGTGATGAAATCCATATTTCCTATAGTGAAATATTTTATGGCGAATATGAGAAATTGTTTCATAGGTAATGGGCCACTGGAGGGCACTATTGGCTTTTACTTAAGTGATGGAGATATTTACTCTCACTATGAGCCATAGTTTATTCTTTCCAATGAGAATCAACATTTGAAAAAGCCAGTTCTTCAGGATTAATATGTCTACTGAGAAATACACCCTCCAGGTTTTTCAAACAATCATGTATCAGAGATTGCTTGAAATATGAATGTTTTAAGACCTTCCCCCCAACTTAATCAGTATAATAAAAACAAACATTAAAAATACTTAACATGCAATAGACTATAAATCATACTCTATCATTTCAGAGATGAGGAAACAGACCCACAGAGGTTTAACTATTGTCCCAAGTCCTTAACTGTATGTATTCTCCTGTATGTATTATACTTAGAACATATAAGTATTTAAAAACAGTGGTATCTCAGAGCAGAACTCCACATATTCAATAACAAAGACAGTCCCGGTGCAGAAACCAAGCCATTCTTACCAGACTCATGCCAACGAAAGCTGATGAAGAGTTAGGAAACCTAGCTCATTCCTTAGTTGCGATCCCACACCCAACACACGAATGCTTTTGAATTCTTTCAATCATAATGTGCCTTAATTTTCAAAATAGGTCAAGATACGGTAGTACATACATGTGTCCAAGGTAATCTGTTAGAAGGAGCACAACCCCATCTACCTTCATGATCATCAACTCATCAAGAGCCAGCAAGATAATAAACATTGCAAAAGGATAACAGAAGTCATAAAAATCTATTTTGTTTTGCTTTAAATTGTGGAAAGAAGAGATGAAAATCTATGGATATTTACGAGCTCTTTATCTTTCCACTACCTCTCAGTATGGCTCCCTGCATTGAACTTTTTTATAAATGGTGTTTGTGTTGCAATTACTATAATAGTAAATAATGGTAGTAAAACTGGAAAGTTTGAGCATTTTTCAAAATAAGCACCATTTTTTTTGGTGCTAGCTAATTATATGACCAGCGTCTTAAAACTCATTGTACTAAAAAAACTGAATAAAAGAATCTAAGATACACGTGTTTTAGAATATGTTGGTGTATGTATATATACACACACATATACATGAATTGTGTGTGTGTATAGACTTACGCATATATACACATACACATCTTGAGATGTCGCATTTTGTACTTCGCCAGCATCATGTCACCCGTTCTTACCTTCGGAATGTAGGTGAGGCGATGTCAGGATACTTGGATCCTGGCTGCCTGAGCCCTTGTGTTCCACAGGCACTGGCAGAGGTGGGGCTGGACTTGGGGGACCCTGACAAAGAAACACTCTCTGAATCTGAGACGGCTACCTTCTCCTTCTCCTTGTCCGTCTGGTTGACAGTGACGGGACTGGAGCGCCCTGACCCAATCTTAGTGGGTTCCCTCAGCTTCGAGGTGGCGGCGCCGGCCGACTTGCTGCTGACGTTGGAGTCGATGCTGCTGGTGCTGGAGCGGTGGCCCCCGCGGCCAGGAATGCCGCCGGCGCTGGACTTGGCGGGCCGGGGCAGGCTGCGGTACTGCAGCGAGGCCTTGGAGCTCGCGTGGAGCACCACGTCGTCCTGGTGCTGGGACCCGTCCAGGCTGGTTTTTCTCCCGGCGTTTGACTTCCCACCGATGGCAGCGGACTTGGGAATTTTACCCAGCGTGGCCGATCCACTCGTGATGGTGGCTCCACTGCTCGTGATCATGGTAGATGATCCTACTCCGCTTGGTTTCTTAAACCCAAAAGATCCCGTGGCAGTTGATCTTCCGATACCCGAGGGGGGCTTTTTCCCCTCATCTCCGCTGCTTTTTCCTGCATCTGAAGGAGACCTCTGCAGAGAGGATCCTTTCAGGGGAGTTTTCCCTTTCTCAGAAGCTTTGGTATCATCGGTTTTCCCTGATTAATGAGAAACACACAAATGTATTTGCCTGCACATTTTGATTTCATAATAATATTTCTTTGAAGAATGCATCTAAGGTGAATATATCTTTATATTACTTCACTTCCTAAATATTCATTTTTTTAGATCTAAATAGGCAAGCACTCTAATACGTTGAGTAAAAAGCTGCAAAAACGGGGCTATTAGACGAGTGTGGCGAGAGATCAAGGAGATAATTGAAAACACATAATTTTGCCATTTACGATTGCTTTATATCTTACAACTGTTCCTTTATAGGGATAGCACTTCATCTTAGCAAGCTAAGTATTAGAAAACAAATTCATTTGAATATCTGTGAGATGATTACATTTGAAGTACCCTGTTACACCAGTACTTCAGGTGGCACTATTTAAAATTAGGCACCATTTAAAAAGTAGGGAGAGAGTCTTAATTTTTAAAAAAAGGACGGTGCAATTTCGAAGAATTCTTTCACAAAGTTTAATTCACAAATCATGTTTCAAATCTCTTGCATTCTAACCCCGTAGATTAATGTGATCAATCTTCTCTCACAGTTGGTAGTGAACCTCTGTGGCATACTTAACATGAATACAGTAATCCAAACTTTCATAAGGCAGTCAGAAGGAAAGCAATTATTTTTTATTAGATAGCCTTATTTTATTCCCACATGACGAGAAATGACTGTGGCAAAAGAAAGATACTCAATCGTCCCAATTATGACAGTGCTTCCTGGAGAATGCCTAGGTTGTTATAGACATGTGGATTTACATGGGAAAGTGTGTGAAATTTACCCTGAAAAGTATTTAACTATATGAAGAATAATATCATTTAATAAAAAAGAAAGCTATTATTCAAGAGAAGAAAGATCAAATGGAAACAATACATTAAAACACTTTTACGTAACAGCTGCCAGTTGGCAAGCCTACCAGGGGTCTTGAGAGCGCTTGTCCCAGCTTTCTGCCTGGGTGGTGCCCCTCCCTGGGCAGACATGCCCCTTCTCCAGGAACCCGTCTGGGAAACAGACAGGGAGGCTTTCTGCCCTGCCTTCTCAGGGTCTTCAGGGAGTCCTGAGGACACACCCTTCCACTTGCCACCGCCATCCCCGTGGCTGTCAAAGTCCTCTTCTGTTTTTTTCAGCTCCTCAGTGCTATCCCAGGTCTCATCTGTGGTAGAACGTTTCTCTGAATCTGTCTTCAGCTATTAAGAAAACATTACAGAAAAACTTTGTGCAGAAAAATCTATAACGTGTGAATAAGGCACTGGAATTTACTTTTAGTTAACTGGTAAAAAAAAAAAAAAGCGCTGATTTATATTTCAAAAGAATTGCAAAAATTCCTCTATTTTTTTATGTCTTCATGTATGTTTTACTAATTTTAGCCACATAATTCTCACCTGTACATATTAGAGAATGTCAGAATAAATATATGTGCAGAAAAAACGCAATTAAACACTCTAGAGAGGAAGAAATTTTTTTCTATGTCAAATCTAACAAGGAAAAGTAAGACAAGATGAAACTTAATTATCTAATATCTATTCTTGATTTACCATCCTCAAGAGATTCAGTAATTTATTTCAAAGATATATATAAAATTGATCAAGAACTATTCAAAATTAGACTATTAAATATTTTTTAGATTTTAAACAAATATATTGATATTATAAAGAGTTATGGCAACATAAATCTTTCTGTGTTAGCTTTTAATCAATAGGAAATATATATTTATACACAAGCTGTTTAGATTATGCAATTATTTCAGGTTAAGAGATTATGCTATATTTAGTTCTAATATACAATAATTTGGGGTAAAATCTGGCAGAAGCACTGGAAAAAGAAAGCAGGTGAGTCTCACCTGAGTGTTCTTCCTGGAAGGCAGAGTGATGTTGGAGTAAGAGCTGACTGAGGACGTGGTGTTCAAGTCATCGGTGCTGATGTTATCAAGGGTGTCACTGAGACCACTGCTCACAGAACTGCTGTCATCCCAGCTAAAGACAAGACATGCAGCAGCAGTGAGCTCCACACGGGATGCACAATGCAAGTCATTTCATTTACATGTGACCTTTATCATGCTTTGAGAAGACAATCCTTTCTTTTAACCTTATGATGAAAAATTATTCACTTTCCATTTTTGGAAAATAATATTAATAAGAAGTGAATGCAGACCTGAGAATAACCTTATCTAATATTTGCAAAGAATCAGTGTCTAGAGTAGATCCAGGTCCCAGGGGAATATTTATAGACTGAATGAAAACACTGATACAAATATTACATGTTATCAGGAAAGAATACCATTAAGGATAACTTTTTTCCCTTGAAACAGTAACCAGGAATCACATAGCATCTAAGAATACACCCTTTATTCTAATTATAAAGAAAACAAAACAAAACCGTGCTTTAATCAGAAACCATAAAGTCATCCTTCATTCTTTGTCCTACCTTAGTAACTACTTCCAATCATTCACCAAATCTTGAATATTGAGATTCATTCTATCATATGAATATCTCTTTTCATACCTCACATTTTCTGTCTGGTACAATCTCTCCTTTGGTCTTTCTTAATGCAACTTTCCAGGCTAAAGTTCACATCTGGCCATGTGACTCCCCTCCTTAACACTCTTCAAAGAGTTCTCTTTACCAAAGCAGTAGATTCTCAAATGGAGTGTTCCGGCCCTGGGGGGCACATGGGGAACCCACTGAGGTATTAAAAAAATGCTAAAATTCTGAACATATTTGATTTTGATCCAGAGAAGAATTAATAAAATACGTGATATAAATATTCATGTATAAGCTAACATGGCACATAATATTCAAGCACATAAGCTAACTTAGTCAATGTGTCATAAGATGTGGAAGTAAGGATGGAGCAGGGTCACCCGAAGGAGAATGGGACTCAAGAGTGCAAAGGGGTAAACCACAGTCCTCTCATTTACTGGGTGGTTCTCAGTCTACTGTGATGTAGTGCTGCTGCTCACCTGTGCTCTATTAAATGAATTCGTGCACACTGGATACGGATATCAGATAGAGACAAAAGTGAAGTCTCACAAAATGCCTAGGTGGCTTAAAGGACCTCCTGCAAATAATCCACACATTGAAGAGAATACCCATAAGGAAAGCACAAGCAAACCACAAAGAATGGTGAACTGATGCTGTTCTTTCTCCGGTATGTGTACTTTACGAGTCACATAAATTCAAAATAATAGTGATGCATTGCAATCACATACAAAACCAACTGGAAAAGTAATTACCAAGAAGAAAATTTGAAATTTGAATTTATAGCAAATATTGTTAATGTGATACCTCCTTAGGTGTGTATTTTGGTTTGAGATACTAGGTACTAATGGCATAAAGTATCAATATTACCAAAGGCATTTATAAATCAGATTATTATCAATAATAACTGTATTATTCATGAGAGGAAAGGGGTATTTTGTATCACTGTCACAAATATCTGTCATTTGTGGCTACTCACATTTTTGAATACTCTCCTTACATCATTTTAGATAATTTCCCACATTATGAGTCTTACCTTCCCAAGGCAAAATACAAAAACACTCGCATTTCCATTTTGCCTGAGAGATATGCATGCAACACAGGGCTTGTCTGTCATATGTTCCCAGAAAGTCACAAATGAGAAAATGAGAAAAACAATCTTCTGGGGAACATAGCTGAGTCCTGCAGTTCTTCTCTATCTGCACTGGCAGATATCTGGCCAAGTGTTCGAGGTGCCCAGGNCAATCTTCTGGGGAACATAGCAGAGTCCTGCAGTTCTTCTCTATCTGCAGTGGCAGATATCTGGCCAAGTGTTAGAGGTGCCCAGTGGAGGAAGGAGTGATGCCCTGTGGCTATGGCTGGTTAAGAGCATGCAAAGAGCCTGCTTTTCCAATCATATCAGAACTTCAGAGAGTCTTCTAATATCCTATAATTCCTTACATTAGCCAAAGCAGATTCTGCAGTTTTCAAAAATTATTATTCCTTNCATATCAGAACTTCAGAGAGTCTTCTAATATCCTATAATTCCTTACATTAGCCAAAGCAGATTCTGTAGTTTTCAAAAATTATTATTCCTTTACTCTATCCTTTACATTTTTTCATATCTGTATATGTTGTATAATACATATACTATCTTCTCACAGTAATGCATACATATACATTATATGAATATAAGTATACACATTTTAATGACCACCAGTTTAAAGCAACGTCCAGGGTTCTTAAAAAGTCATCAGGGCTTTCCATTATATAGCTCCATACTACGCTTCAGTGTCAACATTTCATGTGCCCGCTTCACTTTCTGAACTTTGACCTAGAACCACATCAGATCCCATCACCATTACATTATTTCCAACCTTTGCTGTTGCTCTAGCTACCCCTCTGCCTACCTGACTAACCAATCCTTACCTCTGTAACACATCTTCTAGGAAGACTCTTTATTCTCTGCTGCCAGGATGGATTAGTTAGCTCTCCTCTTCACTGCCATGATGCCATGTACAGTTGTACAGGAGTGGATCTGGCCCATTGTTTAATAAATCAATAAAAACAGATCTAAATGGACCATTAGCCTGTGATTTTTCTAAGTATAGAGTATGTGTAATTTTCCTTTGAATTTCTACTATTTAGAGCAATGACCAACACCTAAATGTTGAATAAAAGTCTTATGTTTCGACGAGATTAAGAGAAAAGCAATTATGGAGGTAATTTGTCACACTTATATAAAGTGAATTTTAAAGGAATGCTTGGCACACAGTATATTCTGCATTCAAATAATAAAATTAAACAAAAGAGTAAAATTTCTAATGAGTATTTTTACAGTGGCCATTTCTCTGGCAAGGAGACAGAGATCAATATTTCCAATAATAGCTTCTATCAGTGTGAATCAGTGACTAGGAAGTTAAATGCAACGACTCTTATTGGAATCATAACAACCATGTAGGTCCTGCTTTAAAACCATTTAAAGTTTAAAGTGAACACAACACCTTTGTGTTCATATAAATGATATAAATAGAAGTGCATGTCTGGTATATTTACTTAAACTTGCTGTTCTGACTTTCCCATCTCACAGGACGGTGTGAGAAGCACATGAAATCACTTACTTGAATGATTTTGTAATACCTTACATCTTGCCTTCTCCTCAAATCACTTCACCTCTAAGGTCTCAAATTCTACATTCTCACTTTTGGATCGCATTTTCTATACTTTCAGTACTCTAAAATCTACTAATTCCTAATTGTCATATGTATGTATAGATACTTTCTATTATAAATTTTTAAGTCTTCTTGTGTATTTTATTCCACTAAGCTTTTTACCAAATGATCCAGGATCCAAAAATACTAGAGGAAAAGTGTCCTTAAAATGACAATCTAATCAGTACTATGTTCCTTTTTTTTTTTAAATGTATTTATTGATTTCAGAGAGAGGAAGGGAGAGAGAGAGACAGAAAGAAACATCAATGATGAGAGAGTCATCAATCAGCTGCCTCCTGCACGCTGCCAACCGGGGATCTAGACCGCAACTGGGAAACAAACCGTGATCTCCTGGTTCACAGGCTGCTGCTCAACCACTGAGCCACACCAGCCAGGCAAATCAGTACTATATTCTAGTTCTTGCCACCCTAAAAGTCTTCCATATCTGTCCTGACCCATTCTTATTTTGAAAATGACAAGAAAGTCAACTAATTTTAATGACTAATATAATAATAATATATATTTATTATATGTAAAAAACTAATTATAATGACAATGCCTATAGGTTCAAGTCATCTAACCTCAGGTGATTTCTCAGGGCTACTTAGGAATTTTGTTTTATCCAAAAGTAATTTTCTTCAAATTCCAAAGGCATAGTGTTATTTCTCTCTTTCTCCTATGGATTCTAAGATCTTGCTCCTAATACTTGACTGAAATTGCTTCCACAAAGGTCAACGGCATCCATGAATTGAATGCCTACTATGTGTTCTACTCTTCTAACACGACCTAATCCCCAAACAAATCTATGAGATAGACACTCCAAAGAAAAAGAGGTTCAGGTAGGTTAAATGACATGCCCAAGATCCCATCATGGTGCTGAAATCTGAATCCAGGGATTATGTCTCAGAGCTTGCTTAGTAATATGCTCCCCTGCCTACCACCTTCTCACCCCTTCTCTCCTGAAATATATCAGTAAAGATCCTCAGGCTCTCTGCAAACTTTACCAGAGTCCTCAGAATCCTCTTCCTTGGGCTTCTTCTGAATTCACCAATATTCAGAACTTAATTCACCTCAGACATTCTTCCTTGGAAACTTCCTAGTCTTCCACAACTTCGATATCCCTCCCATGATCATGACACTCATTCACATCTCTAAGCCAGACTTCTTTCCTGACTACAAGGTCAGCATTTCCAGCCTTCTGCTGGGCAGTTTCTCAAGGATGTCCTCTCAACATCTCAAATTCACTCGGCCTAGATTACATCATTCATCTTCAAAAATTCTTTTCCATCTCAGTTATTTACATTTCTTGTTCATTCTTTGGCTATACAATATTAGTGTTACTACCTTTCTTCGCTTGCTTAGCTCCATTCTTAGTCAAGTTGTCCCTAATCCTTGAAAATCCATCTCAGCTATAGGTAACACAGCCAACCCTTTTATCCTACATCTTGACTGACCTTGCTTGTCTCTTCTTCCACAAAAGCTATTAGTAAGCATATGCTCTTATTCATTAGGTGATGAATAAATGATAACTCTTCTCCCTGAAGAACTGTGTTTACTGTGGAGCACAAACATTTAAACAAATGATTATAATACAGAGGTGCAATAATAGAGGTGAATGTTAAATGCATGCAGGGCAGAGCTACCAGAACTTATTTTAAGAGTTAAAGAAATTCTTCATGATAGGGACATTGTGGAGTGATCAGATACAGTCTATGTTAATCATTGTATTGTAAGCATAAACACCTGTTATAACCATTTTTGTGTGTGCTTTTATATCTTACTGGTCATAATTGGAATTACCTAAA